CTGACCGTTGTTGTTGTTGATGGCTTTAGCCAAGTGCTGTGCTCCAATGTCTGAGATGCCATTTGCTGAGAGGTCTAGCATGCGTAGCTGACAGCTGTTGTCGTTGATGGCTTTAGCCAAGTCCTGTGCTCCAATGTCTGAGATGTTATTTTCTGAGAGGTCTAATGTGCGTAGCTGACAGTTGTTGTTATTGATGGCTTCAGCTAAGTAGTTTGCTGCTTCATCTGTCAATTGATTGTGTGTGAGGTTTAACCAGCTCAGTTGAGATTCCTTACACTTTAACAATTTACAAATCTCAAAACTACCTAATGGACCGATGTTATTGTTTCTCAAATCTAGATGTGAAATTTGTTGAACATTAATTACATTTACTAACGAAGAGCAATCAACAGCTGTGAGGCGACAATGATTAAAATTTACAAAATTAAAGTTTAGTTGTTGAAGTTTTGTCTGAACTTTCGATTTCATCTCATCACTTTCGTTAAAACATTTAAACAATGTTACTGCTAAATCTCGTTCGTCTCCAGTCGGCCAGAGAGTCACTTTCCTTGGCTCTTCATTCTCTGTCCACTGTTCGTTGTCCTCTTCGCATTCTCTCTCGTCAGTTTGCACAGGAAGAAGGTCAGTGATAATTTCGCTTGGTAGGTGACTTTTATCCTCCATAAGTCCCGCCAGAAACTGAAAAACCAGCTGCCATTTTCCGTTCTTGATGTTCTCGGAAACAAAGTTTCTTAATTCTTCTCTACTCATGTTGTTTGCTAGGTGCCGCGCTGCGAAAAACTCTTGCATTGTAAGGTGAATGAAACAGAATTGTTCCTCATCTTTTAACGCGGCATTTTTACGGTCGGGTAAGCGGTGAAAAAGAGCGCTGTCTTCCATTCCGCGTACTTCGTTTCCTCCAAGGATTAGTTTTCCTTCTTTGATTCCTTCAAATGCCACTTTTCCTAGTGTCTCGAATTTCTCCTCCACATTCAAGGGCAAATAATCTGAAAGAAAGTTTTTGCGGGTGAAATGTTTCTCGCGGAATCCTTTCGTGTGTTTCAAATAGAATACTTTCACCGCAATCTTGTATATCGTGGTTAATTTGGAAGGGAGAGTAACACTAGCGCAACTTTCGAACTGTATTATTTCTGACAGACTTGAGCACATGATGAAGCTGTTCACAGGGATATAACAGAGCGAAAGTAAGTTCATGTTGCTGCTGATGTGTCGCCATAGTTTTTCGCCTGCTTGCTTGTCAACTCCGGCGAATTTGTGGATATATTCTCGAATTTGCTCGGTTGAGAAACCTAGGATTTCAAAGGTTCTGTCGAACTTAAGATGTGCAATGCCTGACAAAGCTGTAGGTCTCGTAGTCGTTACAATTGAAGCATCTTCAAGAATTTCCCCGGTCACAAGCCACTGATACAAGATTTGGAGCGGCATCTCCTCTTCAATGCTTGTGGAACAGGGAGGCGCTACGGCCATGTTTGCGTTATCTTTGAATTCGTCGAATCCGTCAAAAAGTATGAGGACACCTTCAGGGTGCTGCAGGATGTACTTCCAGACCTCATCATCTAGGTGATCTGGGAAGGAATGTTCTGACCAAGTGAGTAATTCCCTGAGGCTAAGGTCGTTTGCCGAGTTGAATCTTCTGAATCTTACGAAGAAAGCAGCATCAAATTGGATTTGGGCATTAGATGTCGCTTTAAAATTCTCACATGCCCAGTCTCTGAGAAGTTTGATGCAACATAATGTTTTGCCGATTCCGGGACGACCGACAATCAAAACTTTCTTATTTTCATTATTTAGGAGGTCTTCCAGGCTTTTCGGTTGTGATTCTTCGTCGTGTGACCTTTGATAAATTTTGAGTTGCTCATGTCTGTCTGTAGTAAAATTGTACTTGGCCCTGTTGCGGATGATCACAAGGTTGGTGTAAATCTGATCCAAAGTCAAATCTTTGGTTGTTGTTTCTTCGCCTGGATTACGTGGAAACAGTGATTGGAGTTCGGGAAGACATTTAGTTTCTTTAATTATTTTCTTCTTTCGTGCGATGAATAATTGAAGCTCTTCAGGCTTATCATGTCCGCTCGTTGCTTCTGGCTGTTGAAGAACTTGGTGCGACACGACTTGCTCTTGTGGCTGTAGTGGGGCAACTGCATCTTGTTTTGGAGGTTCTCGGTGTGACTCGGATTGGGTCGGAGGGTGTTCACGTTCTCGTGGCTGTGATGGAACATCAGCCTGCTTTTGATGTTCCTCGTGCACCTCGACCTGGATCGGACAGTTTTCGTGCTCTCTTTGCTGTAGTGGAACAGTTTCATGGTCTCTTCTTTCTCCTTGATGCGACTTGTCATGTCCACTCGTTCCTTCTGGTTGCTGAAGAACTTGATGCGACACGACTTGCTCTTGAGGCTGTAGTGGGGCAACTGCATTTTGTTTTGGAGGTTCTCGGTGTGACTCGGATTGGGTCGGAGGGTGTTCACGTTCTCGTGGCTGTGATGGAACATCATCCTGCTTTTGACAGTTTTCGCACTCTCTTTGCGACTTGTCATAGTTAGCATTCAGATAGTTTTTTAAGAAGTCTCGCATAAAATTCCTGTCTATGCATGCCCGTAACAAAATGTAGACGGTTTCAATCAAAATGCACATGACGAAAGTTCCATTTACTACAAGGACAGCGTACATCCAAAAGGTTTTCTTTATCGCTCGTTGATTGTGACATTTGTATAAAGTACTGTTTGGGGCAGTGTCTGATGAATTCCTTGGTTGATTAGTTCTAGAGGTTAAATGACAGTCGAACGCGGAGGAAAAGTTTAAAGGATAAAGCAACTGAGTTTGCAGCAATATGAAGAGAACTCCAAGAACAAGTCTCGTAGATAGTTGACAACAGTAAGCGATAAAAAGCTTGTGTCCGCAATTTGTTGTTTGACTTGTTGGCTTTTCGCACGACTGCCCGCTCTCTGGATCACTGTTAGGACTGCTCGACGACAAATGATCGACTGTATTTCTCACTATTTGGGAGTACACAACACATACAATTCCAATAAGGAGGAAATTGATGATCACGAAGCCATAGACAGGAACACCAAATTTGTTGTACTGCTTCTCGTATTTTTCGAAACATTCTCCACGGACAAGGTCAATGTTTTCACTATTCGCTCCACCACAACGGAAATCATACCTGGATTCGGTGTTTTCCACTTCGGCAAAAGTGCCAAAGAAGATTACACTGATCACGAACCAAATTAAAACTGCGGCATAGCTAATTTTGTTGAAGGTTTTTGGCGCAAGTGATTCCTTGAGATGATCCATCGTTTCAGTACTGTTTGCATTTTTGGCTATTTTCGATGAGATGAAAATCGCTTTACAGCTTTTGTCGTGGACTTCCGGTTATTCATTGTTTCAGATTTTATGTTTATTTGTGGCAAAACTGCAATCTCAACGCTTGGCAAACTTACGACTGTCAGTGGTTTGTTCTCGCACGCCATCATTTTCTCGACTACACAAGAAACTGATATCGGAAACAGAAACAGGAGAATGAAATGGACAGATGTGTGCTACTTGGGCCAAATTTTCCTTATTTTCAATGCATGAGATTCTATGAAATTTATTTGAACGAGGCGTTATCGTTTCAGCACTGTTTGCATTCTCGCTGTTTTCGATGAGATGAAAATTGCTTCATAGCTTTGGATGTGGACTTCGGGTTATTTATAGTTTCAGATTTTAAGTTTATTTATGGCAAAACTGCAGTTTCAACACTTGGCAAACTTACAGCTGTCATTGATCTGTTTTCGCACGCCATCGTCTTCTCGACTACGCAAGAAACTGATATCAGACTGAATCAGAAACAGGAAATGAAATGGACAGATGTGTGTTACTTGGTCAAATATTCCCTATTTTTAATGCGCGAGATTCTATGAAATTTATTTGAAGGAGGCGCCGAAGGAACATCTACAAGTATGGCGAGAAATTTCGCTTTCTAAGGTAACTAGCGCGCATAGAAGCGCCACCTCAAAAGAACTTGTAAACTAAGTGTCACTGAAACTCTCCTTTTCCTTCGCCTAAAGCCAGGGATTTTTACTGATTATAAGAACTTTCCAACATGACTTGGTCTCTGTCGCTGGACTTTCTCAAAGAGTTTGCAATATCACATGTTTTCACTTTTTCACCTGTAAACTGTGACTTTGTGAAGAAATGAAAGAAGACTCTCGTGGGAAAGTGAAACCATGCATTTCTGACCCGACACTGGGCATTTTCAAAACTGCAGAGCATCCTTGTATTTTCCGAATAACAACTGAACCACTCTTACTGGTTACCTGCTCGTTAATTCTTCTTGTTTAAAAAGTAAATGCTTACTCGTCTGAAATAAAGCAACTTTCATCCCCGCTTCATTCCGGTCTTAATGTGTAAACCGTCGAATGCAAAATTTTTACCGTCATCCAATCCGCAAACTTATACTTCTGAAGAAAGGTGTTCAAGTTAGCTCAGAAAGCTTTGTCCGACAAACACGCACTTGAATGTAGCAAAATGAGAACCCCGGAGAAGTCGAGGTCGGACTCAACTCAAATGTTCTTCTGAGCCGTTATCTCGTTGCATTTTCTTCTGATTTGTCGGCGGGAGTAAGGTAACACACTCTTCCTCAGGAATTTTGCTGATAACAAATTTTGGCTGAAAACTGATTCATTCAGATATTGGAAAGATATTGTATCGTTTAATAAAAAACTTTAATTCTTAAAAATTAACCGTCAACCGTGAAAGATCATCCTGAACACTTGACCGTCAACCATTAGAGATACCAGCGCACTAACGCCCTCCTACATGAGCTGTGCCGAGGGCCATGATGCACCAACTGTAAGAAGGAAAAAGATGTTTTGACTATTTAAATCCACGATTTTCGTAAATTGAGCGAAAGACTTCTATAATTTCATACCAGATCGGTGTCTCGTTTCAGTTCAAGTGCAAGAAACAAAATTTGTTGTTAAATTTGGTTCCTTAGAATTATATAACCGCGCTTGTTAATAATGGACCGAGTGTACCCTGGGCACAACTGTCCTCCTTATCAACCAAAATGGCGGTGGAATAACAATCAGCGAGGTGGAAACATGGAAAAGAAGGATTCAGATTATCATGATAATTTCTTTGCGAGTTTGAACCAACTCATACTAAGCTTAGAGCCTGCCATAAAGGAAGCAGGATCGGTCTCCGCAGCGGAAGACATTTTAGCGCACTTGGAGGCAACAGACGAAAATTTCCACAGGTTTGAACCCAAATACTCTAATCAAGCTGCTGTGTTCGTTCTCAGTTCATCCTACTAGTATTTTGTATCGTAGAATGGATTTTACTAACAAGAATGAAGTAGAACTTGTGCAGTCTTAACTGATAGCGTTTGATAAATTTTGAGTCTATCTTCCTTTTTTCAAACACATCCATTAAAAATTACGGTTTTGACCAAATTGCGGGAAAACACTGCTGTATCTTGTCAGTTTAAAAAACGAAATTGTGAAAATATCTCTTAAAATAAAACTAAATTTTGAGTTTTCTGTTTGGTAGGATGTTAACAGACCTGAATTTTTTTTATGCAAACGAAAGAATAAAGGTGTCTGCCAGATTTTTAATATTGATAGACAAATCGCCTTGTGCGTGGTGGAAAAGTGTGAGAATTTTAGTCTAAAAATTGATACATGGCTGATTAGCTGACTGACTGACCAATCGGCCGACTGACTTATTTAAAAACTATGAGACTGACTGAATTATTAAAATGAATGTTTAAATTTTATTGATTGATTTAATGATTGAAAGGTTGGTTGAATATTTAATGCTAGAACCTTTTCTGACTTGTATGTTGTTGTTATTAGATATGACTTTGTGCGTCAACTAAGGAGTCGTATTGACACAACTCTAACACCACTCATTGACAAGAAATTGGAACAACTGACTGGCAGGGAGGGGGACAGGAACAATTCAGTGCCAACCATAACTGAGGAGATTATAGCCTCACCTGAGTAAGTTACACAAAGAAATGTAGACAGAAAGAAGAAAAACAACTGTTTAAACTAGTGTATTGAATATGGAAAAGAATCAACATATAAATTTCCAAAGCTAAACCAAGATATTTAAAATTTCCAGTGTGTCAATCAGTAAAACCAAATTAGCACAACATCCGACCAGTGCAAAGAAGAATTTTATGATGAATAAGTGGTTACACATAGTAAACCAAGTAAACAGCTGTTGGAGCATGAAAATGCAAATTATGAAGAGAGAGTGTTGTGACTTACTGGATCAATCTTTACACAGGGCAGCTCTGCAAACCCACTGTTATACCCAATAAAATTTGACTATCAGTTAAGAATTTGCCTAAAATATACAAACAAATCTTGTATACATGGGGACATGAATTGCTAATCATATGTAGAGTTTTCTTTGATTAATTGACCAATTTATATCCCTTGAGATGGCAATGTGTTTTAATTGTTATACAACTTATGTGTTACAGGTTTGTTAACCTTCAGCAGTCAATTTTAGCTGATACAAAAGATGCAGTTAATGCTTTGGTGAGAAAAACTTCAGTGTTCTTGATAGCCATTTAATTGTTTACAAAAAGTATAAACATTTAATAGTTTATAATAAGTATTTTGTACATTTTCTTAAATTAGACCTTAATGTTACTTTTTAGATTCAAAGTTTCTCTCAAAATCCTGGCCTTCGTCCGTCTGACTATGAACTCACAGAAAACAGAGGCAGACTCCAACCTTTTAGATTATCACTGGATTCCAGTGATGAAGATTCATCTATGTCTTCCTCTTTTGGACAGGTATGTTTTCCAGACTTAATCCTTTGAATCCTAAAATCAGATCATTAATTCTCTCTTCAAGCTGCTCCACATTTCCTTGTAAACTAGTAACGAGAATTTGGTGGAAGATCACATATTCTACCAGTTAAGTTTCATTGATCTAATTTTCTTTTGTCTGGATAATGAATGGATATTATAGGGAGAAATAACATGTTTATCAACTCTGGGAGTTAAAGGGTTAAGTAGGTGAATATTGTAAAATATTCCACTTGACTTTCTCTTTGGGATTCTGCATTTGAATGTGATAGTTTTGGTGTATCTCTTGTTTTACTTTAGGCTGGGTACATGTTTAACATGTCACCTGAGAAATTCACTGAAATTGCAGAGAATTTAGATCCAGATAAACCTCTTCATGTGAGTAGAATTTTGTGTGTTTATAATCCTTTTATGTTCTTACCTGATAAATTAAACACTTGTCTGGAATTTAGAATACTTCCAAAGCTTTATGTTAACACATGATTAAGAGAAATTTCAGTTTCACAAGGAAACTTTAGAAAGACATGTTACAGAGTCACTTACACCATCATCAGATTTATGTATTGAGATGTTGCTTTTGTTTTTACATGTTACATGCAATTATATTGTAATTTTAAATTGAGTCATAATATTATTTTGAAACTAGTACTGTTAAATTAGTTGAAGTAAACAATAGTGTATATGAATCTAACACTGGGAAAGCAAATAAAAAACATTAAATATATATATATATATGGAAACAAAATATATTGATTATGTTGCAATCAAGCATTCTGCTCAGGTTGCAAGCAGCCATTATTACACTCTCTCCTTCAATTTTAGTCAATGAGTTGTTTTGGCTGAGCCTAGAATCTAAGGCACTCAGCTGAACATTTTTGCTTACAACCTAGAAAATTACACAAGTGCTTTTTAACGTGAGAATTTTTGTTTGACAGTTATAATTTGCTTCCAAATCTATTTACAGGTACGGATAAATGCATTAAGCACACTCTACCAGTTTCCATTGTCAGATGAACTCACTAGTAAAAACTCAGAAGGAATTAGAAAAGGTCTATTGGCTGCATTAGCTGATGAGGATGAACAGCTAGCAGTATGTGAATTCCTCATTTAATTTTACTACCTTGCGTTCTGAACCATTAATAACTTTTCTTTCTTTAAAATAAATTGATTTAATTTTCCTACAGGAAAAAAGTCTTAAGTTTCATGCCAGGATGTTCATGGCCTCATCTGCTCATGTCACAAAGGAGATCTACACTTGCTTAGGTCAGAATTGTTACTGAAAAAAGTGTCATGATTTTTGTTTGCACTCTTTTGCTTAATGCTTTGAATAGAGTGGCTGTGAATAATTATCCATAAGAACTGAACTGTGTATGGTCTCATAAACAAAGACGATTCTCCTAAAGCAATAATTTTTTTCACTCTTCTTTCAGCTGAGCACCTGGAGTCTTACTTTAGCGATACTCATCGTCATCGTCTAAACATTGAAAATGGTCTAGATGTGTCAACAAGAAATAACCAGCGATTGCTTAAAAGGGTTTGTTTTCCTTTTTTGATCATGGTTTAACAGCTGATAATATACAAGACTACACAGCAATTTTTTACATGTTGTACATCATAAAAGAAATTAAAACATATGTGTTCCTCTGAGATTACTGTACCTGGCTTACTAACTTTGTTTTTTTCTTTCGGTTACAGTTTAGGCTGCTGAATGAATTTCAGCATGAAGTTGCCTCTTTTTGGATCAGATATCCTGAATGGTATGTTATTTACCTAATTGTATGCAGTGCTAACTTGTAAGTGATAGATTACTCTGGCTAGGTGCCTAAGAGAGGTGCCCAGGAGATAGCCCCATATTCTTCTTGGATACTGTCCCACTGAAGAAGATCAAGGATACTTACTAAACCCCCCCAATGATCTGTACCACATGGGAGGGTATGAAGAGGAAATAGCCTTGTAAAGTTGGTGGGGAAACCTGAGAGTAACCAAAACAAAAGTATTGATACATACTCAGCAGGAAAACAAACCCACCAGTCCTGAAAACATCAGTATGTCAATGTCCAAGCACATGTTGGACTTCAAGTGCTCCTTGTTAGCATAGGTTGGACACTTATCTTTACCAAGATTTCTCTAATCCCCTGTTAATTTATTGCAGGTTTCTTGAGTCAGTCCTTGGTAGTACTTTTAATCTATTCTCCGCTAGTTCTGATCCAGAGTTTGGTGCTTCTGTGCTGCAGTACATGACACCTTTGCATTGTCTTGCCCTAGTTGATCCAAAGGCTACCTGGTTTAAAAAATGGATGGTGAGTTAATATGCTGCTTGGAATCAAACTGACTGTAGTTTGAATCATGGTGATATGTATACAAGATAGGGTTTGAGATTATGACAGGGTTTGAGGGAGATATAATGATGTAGCCTGCAGAGCAGGCATAATTTTGGCGAGCAAGTGCTCAGTATTTTCTTAATTAAAAATTATGGCTGCCATCTTTGATTTTAATGGAAGTGGCAGGCAAGGGAGGTAAAAAATAAGGAGAGGGGCAGGAGTGGGGGAGTGAAGATAATGCCCTTCCCCTGTCTCCTACCCCCACAGTGTCCACTCTAACTCCAAATCAAACATGGCAGGTTGGATAAATAATTGCAAGCTTGTAACATTAGCTCACCCTAACAAGACACCTGTAGAGCAGGCTAATAATGATGAGGAGCTTGAGGGGGTAGGGAGAGGGACAGACCAACCCTGTGTGCCCACTTGCTTGTTGTTGTAGAAGATTATTAATGATAATGACTTCGTTTATTCCACCATTGTAAAGAAATTTAGAAGAAACTACTTTGACTACATTATGTGTAAATTCACACCTGATAGTTTTAAAACTGACAGAATGTTCTAGTTTTTATTAATGTGATTTTAAGTTCTATGTGATCTTATAATATCCTTAGTATCTTGTTATTTTAGTATTTTAAATGTCTGTTATTAGAAATATTGTAATTCAGTTTCTTAGAGCCTTAAGGGAGAATACAGTCTTGACTACAATTGTGCACCCTATTGGAATATTCTTGCCTAACCACAGAAAAAAGGAAAAACTGTAGACATACTACAACATGCAATCAGTCTTGTACATCACCATGAGTGTCTAATTGATCACTGATTACAACTGCTTATTTCTTAGCATGGTAATTACAGTAGAACAGTCGCCATCAGGGAAGTGAAGAAGCACCCCTCTTTGGTAAGTGAGAAAACAGTGAAGGTAATTTAGGTGTTATCGATTTCCTAATTCTTATGTTATGGAGGTCTTTGTTTTTGTTTCATTTTGTGACTATATTTTTTTATATATGTAGTGTAATACCAACTAACCAAGACAGTGACTAATTTTTGTTACTTGTTTTTTAGTTAGTAGATGCCATAAGCCACTGTATTGACTTCTCTAGGACATGTAAAACCCTTCAATCCTTGGAAATGATGGAGCTTAATGAACAGCAAAGAGGTGAATTGGTTGTTTTCATCAAAGTTTCCCCCTTTCGTGGCATATTTTGTTTATTAGAGTGTTGGTTCAAGCTGGTGTACCCAAGCAATGTTTTTTAACTTTTAAGCAACTTCTACTTTCTTTTAAAAACCCTGAACATGGTGTTTACTTTTGAAAGTGATAGGCTGTGAGATGGGTTAGACCTGTATCAATCTGGGAACCTGCTTCTGTTTTTTAAAGGACTACAGACAGTACCTGCAGTCACGTACAGGTTTCTCAGTCAGAAACATATCAGAAGATGACTGCCCATTAACAAGAGAATATGTTATGTGGCACCTTTAAGTCAGAATAGTAAACAGCATAGGCTGTCAAATTTGGGTGAAGAATCTGTGCAGCAACTGCCAAATTCTTCCATATCAGCTTCCCACTGAAGTGGTCCACCAGATCAGTCCATTCATTCAGAAAATTGTACTATTTATCAGAGCTTTCCCACCAAATTAGTCTATTGCTGAATGTTGTTCACTTGTACAAAGCTCAAGGTCAAAATCTCAAATAAAGGTCCCAATTTGTTTTACAATCAACTTACCTGTGGGTCGTCAGTTCTGAATGATGATGGTCAGCAGCTGTAGAGAAATGTGCCAATAAAACAAGGATGAGATGCAGAGGAAAGGGGCTCAATGGCACAATTTTTAACATGATAATCATGGATACTCTGGTGATTTTTACACAGATGATGACAGTGATGGGTTGTTTTATACTTCACAAGACCTTGAGTATATATACTTTGTTCACTCTCTTTGTCTTTTGGGAAGAGTTCTTCTCTACAGTGGTGGCAGAGCATTGTTTCCTGTCATACTGCCAGATACAGATGGTAGGATACACTATATACTCTTATTATTTATTGGTAAATTTGCTCAACAAAGAGTTCTAAATTAGTATTTGTTCAATATTTCTCCACAAAAATTTTTTTTTAGGTCAATATAGACCAAACCATGGCATTTCCACCAAGGAAATTTGTTTTTTCACAATATTTTTGTCAAATATTTCCAGTTGATTTGAAGGAAGGGCTTCAAAACCAGAACTTGTACCTTTGACATGTGGAACCACGCTTTTGTTTCCTTCAACAAAAAAATGTTAGCTTTTTTAGTTGTAATGAATCTGATGAATATTTTAATGTTTGCTAAATTTCTTATTGACCTCTTGTCAGGGAGAACTGAAACTAAAACTGAACTTCTTTTTTTAACTTTATTTTTCTTTGTATTTCAGAAACAGTAACAATCTCAAGTTTGTTAGTGGCATTGATAAGAATCATGTGTACAGCTCTGCCAAACTCTAATGAAAAGACTGTATTAGATGGTAAGACCAATTTACTTTATCTGGGCGAATTGTTCTTCTTGAATGAGCTCTTATTTTATGTGTCAACGTTAGATTTTGCTCTTCTTTAAATCCCCACTACAGTTCAGTTTCATCCTGGTTACCTGGTTTGTGATGTGCTGAAGAAGCTTGCCAGTTGTACTAATGCCAGTAAAGAGTGTCTCTGTAAAGTCAGTATATTTCGAATTTTTTTTACTCCATCTAGTGTTTCTAGCTTAATTTGTGGGTGACAGTGTCAATTGCGATCATTTTGCGGATTTCTTTGCAATGGTTTTTGCTGAAGCACTATGTCTCGGGGTAATGAGTTTGGAAAGAGGCTGTTACTTCACTGAAAATAAGAAAAAGAAAATATTTTGCGTCCTTCCCTCTTAGATCAACTTGTCCAATAAAGTGGCAATCAATTAAAAAATTAAAATGTCCTGTAATCTGTAATTTAAGTTTTTTGTTTGTTTGTTTGTTTTACAGGATGTAATAACAACCAGTCTTTTGTCGCCTGTACAGGCCTGGCTTGACGTAAGTGAAAAAAAGAAGCTAGTTGAAGACATTACTTTCCATAAAACAGATTTCTTGATTTCTGAAAAGAAAAGTGCATTTGTGTTGTTTTGTATATCAGGGCATAGACAGTTGTGATAGTGCCGATGCTGAGAACACTCTGCTGTTTGTAGCTGATGTTTTAGCCACTTTAGCTGCCTCAGAAACTGGTCAAAGACAGCTGCTGTATGGAGAGGCACAAGACAGATGGCAGAGAAGCAGGTAATATTTATTGCCCTTTTCAAAGCGGATTGTTGCAAGAGATTTAACTGATGAAACAAGGGATTAATTCCGACGATGGAGAGCGCTGAAGCGATGATGAGCGCGACAATTCGCCTTTGCACCGCTGATCTTGTTCCGCCAATCAGGTTGGCTGGGTACGCGGCACCATATGAGCGAGGAAAAATGTTGCGCTGTGATTGGCTGATTTTCAACAGCAATAATCACCACCAACAGCTGGTGCATTTTGGTCCTTGCTGTTTTGTTGAGCTGTGCTTACAGAGGAGCGACATGCTCCAGAGGGTCTTGCACTAACTATATTTAATGATATACATTAGAACTGACTTCATTGTGAGTCAAACTTATTACAACAAGGTCTTTTTTCCATATTGAACTTGTTAAAAGTAAAAAACCTCTGATAGTTGTCTTTTACATGATAAATTTTATTACTCGAGTCCTTTTAAAAGTTCGGTATATTTAATTTGTTGTAGGATGATCCTTTCGAAAAGCTTTTGTGCTTTTAACATTTTATGACATCTTATTCCAAGTGCATTGCAATGTAGTGTCATGTAAAATTAAACAGTTCTAAAACTATTGAGTCACAAGATAGCGGAACTTGACCTTTAGCAGTAATATTTTTGTCCTCAATGAACTGAAACCTTGTGTTACAACCTGACTCAAAAGAAAATTTTCTTATTAAGATTTTACTTTCCACTTACACCGCGTCCAGGTTTTCTCCAGCTCACACCATAGCGAAGTTTGCCAAAAAAGCCTTGTTACAAAGACTTCCTGGCGGAACACCGCCCAAAACGGCGATTTCTGGCTTCGTATTCGTCTGTCGTCAACTTTACAGCACGTGTGATGGACTTATGGTGCTCAATCCTTATGAACTTCATCAGTGTGTAGCGAACGCCTGGATTAAGGTGAATGTGTCTTGTCAGAAAGTCGGTTGGCTCAGATAGTCAGATGTTTTCTGGAGCATCAGATGCAAGTCAATGCCGTGTGTTTTGAAATAGTTTTCCTTAAGTTTCTCTGGGACCGTAACTGAATGTTTTCCTAGGACATATTCATTCTAGTTCTGTGTCTTTTGTGGGTCAGCGTATACTTAAGACGTCGCTGAAGTGTGGAAAACGCTACAACTTTGTCTCGAGTGTTCCTTGGAAATGTTCACAGTGCTTATTCTGCTAGCGCTGAAATTATTACTAGCGAACTGTCGGGAAGGACATAACCCTATAACAATTTTCACATGAACTTAGGTAGGCTTGTGCTAAAACGCTTTGTTCTGATTTTTTTCAGGTACACGAGCCAGAATCCCCAACTGAGGCAGAATTAGCTTCTGACGAAACACAGCAGGATTTCATTCAAGACGAGGAAATGTAAGAGCTCACACGATTTTTGTATTTCTTTTCGTTGCCCAGCTCGTTTTTCTTCGCGTTGAGAAGTTCAATTTTTGGTAATTTCATTTCAGACTTGTGTGGGAAAGTTCGCTGGTTGACAATCTGTTAAATTTTGCCGGTACACCGAAAGGATTGCTACTTCTTCAACAAACTGGAAAAATGAATGAATGTGTGGCGTTTATGAATGAACGATACAACAAGAAACTGCAGGTATAAAAAAGGTTCTTAAAGAAAAAAAAGGTCTTTTCCCCAACTTTGACCGTCAAATATGTTACAAAGTCAACAAACTGAAATATGTCAACAAACATGTTCTCAATCTTAAATCTCCTATACCACTGAGGCCAGTGATAACAGTGTAGTCTACGTCTTTAAAGACTTTGTCGTTGCCTGTGCTTTTAAAGCAAAAGTAAGGATACACTTACTTTACAAGGTCTTGATAAGCTTATGCTAACGAACTCTACAGTCTGAAGTGAAGACATTGCATGAAATAATTTACATATGCTTATACTTGTGAATAATTCCCTGTTCGCACCAATTTAATCAAGTTTTATTAAAGGTAAGTTACATGCGTATTGCGCGTGTACGTCACATGTTTTATGGTATATTTACGTACATTTTTTACGCCTGTAATGTAAAAATTTAACAGCCCTTTTCTGTGTTCCATGGTTACCAGTTGTCATCTTTTTTTGACTTGATGATAACGTTAAGGTACCATGGAAAAGTCATCGACCTTTTAATTCAGCTATTTCAGCTTTTTATAATGTTCTTTATCGAGAATCTTTTTCAGTTCGCAGTTTATAGTAGATAAATACTGTGTTAAAAGACCCTTATATCCGCTTGTTAAAGCTATGAAACCATATGCTCTACTTACGCGGCGTCTTTCAAAACTCTTGTACAGTCGAACCCGTATCAAGCGGTGACCCTGTATTAAGCGGTCGGTTTTCAAACTCCCCAATTTTTTCCACTTAATGACTGTATTAAGAGGTCACGTCTATTAAGCGGTCGCGGTCACCCTTTACTAAGTACTGTTTGTATTGTTCTCCACCGAAATCAGTCAAATGAAACTACAAATAATCTTTCAAGTCAAACTTAATCCATGCTTATCACCCAAAATCAATGTGATTGGTATTTTTGAGCGAATTTTTGTAAATTAGTGGGCAATTGTGGCAAAACATGACTTTTTTTATGATACTCCTATTCTTTAGCACCTGTAATAAGCGGCCACCCCGTTATTCCCCACAGGTGATCGCTTAATACAAGTTCGACTGTTTTAATTGTTTAGGTTAGTAAGTGCGAAAAGTTTGGTTATGGGCTGATGGTGACACAGATAGCTGCTACTGCGCCTGGCATGGTTGCACTGGAAAATAGGGGTAAGTAGAAAGAAAAGTTGCAGTTACGTCGATGCAACAGCTCCACTCTTTTCAGTATCACCATAAAGTGGCGGAGAATATATCAGTCCTTTTTCCCCATTTTAATTGGCACTCTTTTCTTCGTTTCAAGACTAATTTTCTTTGGATTGTAAAGATGTGTCAGTGATCGAAACAAAGATGGATAAATCTTCATTTGTTGTAGTTCATTTCTAAATTTTTGTTAATCCGGTCATAAGCGCCCTCCGATATAACCACCTCCGTTTAAGCCAAGCTTAAACCCCAGACGAAGTTGCATAAGACAAGCGCTTGTAAGCTGAAGTTAGTCATGAATCTGTCGCATATCAGAGGGGAGGGTCACGTGTACTCATTGACCTTCCCCCTCCTCCCTCCTTACGCCATGCTCTTAGCCAACTGATTTTTTTTTGTTTGTTTTGACATGATATCCAACTCGTCTTTCACCTCTAAAGTTTTCGTCTTCTTGAAGAGACATGTTTTTCCTGTCGAAGTTCTTTCATGTTTTCGTCGTAACTATAACCAGTTGCAAAAATGTTGTGACATCTTGAGCAAAAAGTGCATTGACCGACTTCATTAGGAAGTCGACAAGAAATTTAGTGCAAAAAACCAAAAGTCATCCCCCTTCCCCAATTCAATCTCGTTCATCGGTTTTGTACGTGATACTGCTTAGCTATATCAACATTGCAGAGGGTGGAGTGGGGGATACATTATGTTGCATCACACGGTGAACAGTTATCTCTTGTCGTGGTAACATATCTCAACTACTTTTGCAACTTTTTGTAGCATTGGAAATTTTGGGAGTCTCTCAAGGAAAACGCCTTAAAGAAAAAGCTTACCCCTTTGCCCACCATATCGTTGTTTCGCACCCCAATTATTGTACCACAGTAACATTTGTTGTTTCACTCGTGATCTCATCAGGTTTCCTGAAGCGAATGGTACTTGACATTTGGACAGTATTTGAAGGAGCTCAGGACAGAAAACCTGCTCCACCAAGTATTAAACATGTGGATAGCATTGATAGCAGAACCTACAACAAGGTTTGACTGTCACAACATGATTCCCTCGATATGTCATGGATCCGGCATTGTTTTGTTTGTCTAAAAGGTTTGGTGTTTTTGCCTCCTTTTTGTAGTCCATGAACAATCTGTTGAGCGTTTTATCAGCGTTTCCTGCTGTATACGAGGTTCTCGCAGACGCTTACCGCCCATCCACCTCTGGTTCAGAGATCGAGGAAGCCGTGACAAATAGAGAAGCTTTCTCTGCTCCTGTCAGTATTATGGTGAGTAGAGCACTTTACATTTTGAATACAGGGCGGTGAGTGATAGGTGTGTAGGACTTATCTTTAGTAAACCGGTGAAGCTCTCTTTCGGAGCCCTAGCAGGAATTAGTGGTTTCATTAGGCAACAATCACTCTCTAGTAGCAATGGCAACCGAAAAGTATTGCTGGTAGCGTACAATGTCGATGAAATCAGTTAAACAAAATGCTCCAGGGTTGCTGACTGATAGTAGCATGATAATGAAAGACTCTTAGAATAAATTTCTTTTCTGTTTGGAAAAAACTCATGTTCTCGCTCGTTTACCAATATACCGTTTAACTTAGGTACAAGAGGAATGCTATCAGTAAACGGTGTTCGTTGCAGGCTGCAGTAATTCCGTCATGAAATTTTCGTTTTCAGAGCTAAGCTCTTTCTGAGAGATCGGCTAAGTTTTCTACTGGTGATTCTTATGTATAAGCAAATTATCTGATGAGAGGAATTTTGTGGTCGAATCTTAGTCATATTTAAGTGTGAGTAGAAAAATCTTAGAGTCCAGGAAATATTGTTTGACTGATCTTTGGTTCTTGTCCCTTCAACAGGATTTAGTTGATCGTTTTATCATGATTGACTCGGAGGAGAAGTTCCATTCACTTTTCAACTTTGAACAGTCTCACCACTTTGGTCTAAGGTACGTCACTGAACATCTGGCCCTGGTTGTTCGAAGGTTGTAAAACGCTATCCACTGGATAAATTTCTATCCGGTGGATAACGCTATATGTTTAGCTATCACTTATCCGCCGGATAGCGATTTATCCGTTGGATAGCGTTGTCCACCTTTTATGCAACTGGGCCCTGAACATTAGCTTATTTACAGTAAACAATCACAAAAGAGGCTAGAAGAAACGAATACGGGACATGGAAGATTACACATAGCGACACTTTAAACAGTTTGTGAAGGGCAAAATTAAAAGTTTTTGCCCCAGCAAATCGTTCAAAATGCAGGATTTCGTGAAATACACTGCTTCTTGTACATCTCAACTTTTTGGTCTCTTTTTCCTCAGAGTTCTTAGTGTGCTGTGTTCCTGCTTGGACACATTCCTCTTTTTTGAATGCCGCTACAGATTTCAAGAATTACTGCTGCAATCTCAGCTGGACATTAGATTTGACAACGGGTAAGGCATTTAAATATATATATATTTTTTATCATTAGAAAAAGTAGAAAAGATAGCTTGATATTCTTCGATTCCAATTTCTGTCACTTGACCAACCAATGTGTTCTCTTGTCGTTACTAACCGATCAAAGATTTAAATTGAACTTCGTGACTGATACAAATAAAAACATTTTCACCAACCTAGTCAGAAATATCTTCTTTTGTTGTCGTTGTCTTCTTATTGTTTGCATAAGGAAGCAAATTCACTTTTCTCGTCGGTGAAATAAGTTACACGCGAATTATCAACCAAAGTCTGAAAAGGTCAGAATTCAGACTTACTTAGGGTTAGGTTATCATCAAACCTTGTTTTTGAAACTGACACAGGTTTTGGCGGTGAATATTGCATAAGGTAGTTTAAAGTCTGTTGCATTCCTTGTTGCAGTGATCGAGTTAATAAGCTGTCTAAGAATGAATTTAAAGTTTCCTTCCGTGAAATTGTAGGAAAGACTACATTATCGACATGTGTTCTTTGGAGAGGAACCATATCTTGGTCAAGACCTATCATGTTGGGGGCACATCTGAGAGGATCATTCCAGGCAGGACCTTAACTGAGGTAACCCAAAAGGTTCTCTTTGGGTGTAAGGCCGTAGCATTTTTTATAGCATGTTTACGGCACTTTCGTTTTGTCTAGTTTACGTGTAGGGGTCTCCTGAAGAAAAATTTACTCGAAACATGTTACAGATTGGCTTTATTTCCTCCTTAGAATGTGGATAATCCTTACCCTTGGCCTTTATTTTCGTCTTATCCTCCGCCAAAAGACTATCTTCCAGGTGAACAGCATGCCAAGATTACAGCATTTGAAGAAGGTGAGGGATATCAGCCCATCGTGTTACTCTTCCTTATGAACTGAATTCGGGTTAGGTCACGTAAAAAACGCGTTTTTTATGAGACCCGGCCCAATCCTCGCTCGGTTTTTTCCCTTCTCTGCTACTTTGCTTCCGTTCGTTATTGTGCTTCGTTTCACTACTTGAACGCCTTGAACAGGCTTGTTGTAGGATTGAATTTAAATAACTGATATGAAACGTTAACTTTACAATGTTTAATTTCTTCCGCATTTTATGAGGAAGTCTATCAGTAAGCAATATACTAAAAATCACTTCATTTATTTGAGTAAGTTGTACATAGTGCATTGTCCGTGGACTATTGGAGGTCCTCTGTGGCCTGAGAGATTTCCGAGTTACAATTTGTATTTTTATTTATAGACAACTTATATAAAACTATTTGAAGAACATAATGAGAATATTTAAATATGTTGCCATCAAGATTTGCGTGAAAAGCCATAATGATTTCTTTCGGGACTGTTCCCAATACTTTTTGTCAATTATAGGTGATACGCTGTTAGAATTTCTGGAAGGCAGTGAACTTATGTCAGCAGACAGGTATCTGAACCGCCTTCGTAAAAAAAAATCATTTGTTGATTTAATTGGGTGGAGTTAAATCGAGAGATTTTGCTTACAGGGGGAGGGGAGGATGAGAAGCCAGGGTCTTTCAGATCGAATATTGACGCCCAGCGTGGTACATTCAAAACAGTAATTGAAAGTATGCTAAACATTTGTCAAGTTTTCAGCGGTTAAACTCGCTCGCCTCTGATCCATTTCTCACCCTAACCGAGCGTAGAAACAGATTTCTCCCTAAGGCCACCAAAAGGATCGCATTTTCCTTTCGCCCTTTCCTAACAGACGACTTAGAAAATCGCTGTTATTCGTTGCTTATGTGTTGAATCCTTTTTCCTTCTGTAGTTTCTCTTGGCTCCAGGATTGTCGTAAGACGTTTTGTCAGTCCGTAACGTCTGGAAAAACCAAAGCGAAGGGAAAAGGTCAGATCCAATTATTTAAGTTCTTGTCTGTGTTGTTGGAAAGCTCGTGTGATATTGATTTTATTTTTCGTATTACAATTTTTTCTTATTGCAAAACTCCTAATCCTCAACTTAAGCGAGTTAGTGAATACATTTCATCAGGGATGATTTCTACAGCTCTGATAGATAGCAATTAGATGACAGTGTATACAATGAATACTTCTGTTGTTCAACAGTTTTGAAATTGCTACTTGACAAGGTTTGCACAGCTTTGACCAACGTACCCGAGGAAGCCATCTTTCCTTTGATTGACTTTTCAGGTAATAGCATTGGAACAGTAGATGCATTTTGATTGTTTTTCATCTCCATCTCTTAATCTCACGGGTCATATTTGATTTTCATGTTATTTTCATGTTAGCCAGTGAAAGCAGTCTGAAGAATGTCGAACTAACAGACATAGAGAGCTTAGGAACGAAAGTAGCAGTGCGGTACGGTGTTCAGCTGAAGTTACTCCAGTCCACCACGGACGGTGTGGAAGATCTGACTTATCTTCTGAAGTACTGCAAGTTCTTTTTACAAGGACAGCAGCGCACCACAGAAAGCACATTACGTATCCTTGTCTTAACCGTTCCTCATTTGCAATCCATGTCAATTTTGTCAATCCTCAGCGTTCCATGTCCCTTGCTGTTGTGTTGTTGCCTCTCAGCACCCAAAGGAAATCAAATAACTGCAAGGTAGCGGCGCAGAGTAGTAGGCCCTCGCATCAAAATCGACAGCATAGAGATTATGTAAATGTTCAGTATTTTCCAACATATTTATTGTGTCCGCTCAATAAATGTCTGCTTTAAGCGGGATGTAAAGTTTAGGAGTTTACATACAAGTTCAAAAGGAGCTTTTTTTAAGCCTATTCGCTTGCAATTGTAAGAAAGTTTCAAAGTTTGTTTGTATATAGCGGTCGAATCATTGTTTTGAGCCTGAAGTGAACTAATATTACACATAATGAGGTCGCTGACGTGATTCAAACAACATTATTGCGTGACATTTTCTTGACTCGCTCCCTTTCCTGATGAAAGGCACTCTGAGTGGTGAGTATGTCGGTCACGACTGGTTTGTGTCCACCATTTTTCTGATGATGTACGGTGACCCGGATCTGGCCTGGGAATTCCTCTTCAAATTCTCCAGTCTCGTTAGTTCAGGTTATCTTTGGATTCGCAGACTGCATGCCTCGGTAAGATATCACTTACTGTTGGGTCTTCATTACTCTAGCCCTATGCCATTTGCTTGAGATCAGATTTATTGATCATATGATAGTGTATTGAAAGCCCATATTCGGAACAGACTTGTATAGCTGATTAAGCCTACCCTAGAAAGGGGTTCTACTTCTCAAGGGTGGTTTGTTAATCCATCACTGGTTTCCTCCACTATCCCCTCCTTTCTTGGCATTTGGCTCGATTCTCCTGGCTTTTCGCTAATACCATCTTATACTCTGGGGTTGAGTGTCATGCCACCATGAGGTTACCCGGTTGGTACCCACCCGTAGTTTGGTTGTAGAAAGGTAATGTTAGGGTAAAAGTCTTGTCTCCTTGAACACAATACAGTGTTTCTAGGCAGGGCACTAACCTGGATGTTTCGATCCACATTCCTTCGCTTTAACCATCATGCTACCGCCTGTTGCACATTCTGCGGTTTTGTTCGAGGTCTTGGTATGCGATTAGAGTCACATGATGATGCACGCAGTGTTGCAAGGCGTAAAGCACAGGTTTTGTTGAGTTTTTCTCTAACTTCTCGATAGCCAATTTGACTTAAGCTTGTGATTCCTATATTATTTCACCGTAGGTGCATTTACCGATGTCACTTACAGTCAGCGGTATTCCTCCACTCTATTCATGCACTTGTCATAACGTGGAGCTTATCCTAATGGTATGTGCGTTTGTTTTTTTTATTTTAACTGGCCTAGATACTTAGATCTATCAATTTATATTGCTCGATAAAGTGCAGATATCAAATGTAAGTAGTGCTCGCAGCCTTTTCTTTTCGAGCGCCTTTCGATGGAGAGTAGTAAAAATTTAAAACTGAAGTAAGCGATGCAGAGCACCAAAATTATCACAGGAAACCTATGAGATCTCAAAGGTGTAAAAACAAGAAAACTGCTCACAGCCAGCGCGGGAAAAGCGTGAGTGACTGAGTGGCAATTGGTTTTGTTTTACCATCTGATTGGTTAAGAGGAGTTCGTGAGATTATCTCGACCAATCACAAAGAGAAGTAAGCCAAAACTAAAGCAACCCTGGATTACTCGACACTCAAATGGAAGTTGCCTTAGTTGACAGAGTTGCTTGCTTCGACCAATTTCTCTTTTGTTCATTCCTCTTCAGGCCGAGGTGCCTTTGGTGTATTCTGCCTTTCGAATGTCTGGTTACACACCATCACAGGTGAGTTACGACGTCTATGCACTTCGGAAAAAACATACGGCAATCTATGTGTGCACTCACCTCTGTCCCTCTCCAACGGTTAGGAACAACATTTTAGCTTCAAACTAGTTAAATGGTCAAAACAGTTGTAAAATAGTTTGGACCTCTCTGTGCTTGTACTGCTTTTGACAACCTCGAGCTGAATGCATTTCCCCGTCAGTCTCTCACTTACTCAGTCATGAGTGCATGCTATTAACTTGTGGGTTTTTATTGATTGTATTTTTTGTCACAAGATCTGCCAACACTGGTTGCGGCAATGTTTTTGGAATTACCTCGACTGGGAGGAGATCTGTTTGTATATCTGTACCTGTCTTACTATGGGCATAGACTATCAGGTAAAACACAAGTGTTTCCGTTAACTCCCAGGATGTGATTACTCATTCTCTCTATCAGTGGCTATATATTCCCCCTGGCAAAATAGTGGTGAAAATCAAGCGTTTTATCAAGGTAACAGCCTTAATCAGACGGGCCTGATGAGTTTTTTGTATTCTCAATTCTCGCTTGCTGTATACGTCATCGATGAGAAACTGCATCATAATCAGTTTTTGGACAGAGTTAAGCTTATTATGCTCAACCCAAGCAAGTGACGTAAATTATCTATGAGTGCACAGTAATTAACGCATGTGTAGCACAGGAGAACCACTTTGCCTCATACGTGAAATAAAAGTTCGAACGTCATGATATTTCCAAGCTTGTATAATACCTCGCAGAAACAGATAGAAATGAATCTTTAGAATTTTTTCCCACTGATACCTTTGGCGAACCACTAAGTACCTGACACTAAAGGGAAAGGAGAGAATGGAAGGCATGCGTACTACCGTTGTAAAATTGTAGGGTTATTTTTCTTTTTGGTCTCCATAATTGTGTTTAACTGGACTCTTGGCTATTTATTACCGATTTTGGGATGTTGTAAATTATCACGTGTTGCGCCATCGGGCAGAATGCGTGGACATCATTGATTATTCATAACCGATAAAGCGGCAAATTTGAACGCGACCTCGCTTTGAAGAGCCCTAAATTAGAGAAGAAAAGGCCAAAAGTGGGTCACTAGGCTTCGTAAAACTCACCTTTCTGAGTTTAAGAAAAGTTTGCTTCTAAATCAACGCACGGCTTTTTGAAGATTAAAGATGTATCTACAATTTGCCCCTAAAATGAACGATTTTTATGAAGTAGAAGCATTATCCTTTTGCACTTGAAAATGCTCAAACTTTGGCCATCTTTAGTCTGAGAGTCATGTTCAAGAGCGATTTTCTGAAAACCCATATTACTCACGACAAATCAACGCATGGAAAATGGCAGATCAATTTCTTCGCTAACAGAATCCGTTTTAATTTTGAAAATTGGCCGACGGGAGCCTTTATCCTATTCAATTTAGAAAATTATAGTCGCAGTTACGTTCAAAAATGGTGCGTTTTGAGCGAGCGAGCGAGCCATTGTCTTCAGCCCACCATGAATAACGATACAGGTCAAACTAAACAATGCCCATTGTTGAAGCCCTTTTACTGGTAAAATTATTCACAATTTCCACAAATTTTAAAACTGCTACGTGCATCAGCTGTCAAACCTTCGCTTTACAGACTTAATTAAATCATGACGGTGTCATCGACCAGCACGCTGTTAGAGATCGGAGCTCTTTTCAGACCTCACTAAATCCCTTATCGCCCTGCAATCTGTATGCGATCGGTAGCTGATGATCAGTTTCAGTCCAGGGATAGCACGAGCATAAAAAGCTCGATAGAAACTGCGATCCTACAAAATAGCGCATTTGTTCGTATGCTTATCTTCGTTCGCTTTTTCTTTCATCGATTCGAAAAAACTTACGTTAGAGCGATTCAGAAACTTTATTTGTACTTCATTCACGATAAAATTAATTTTAAGATGAGACAGTCGATTCCCAAGCAGGAAATGATAGAAAACACCCGCTGTTTATCAAACTGTCGTAGACTTGGTATGAAGCGAATGTATGTATATTAAGAGGGCTTCTTAGTGAAAAAAGAGACAAATATCAGCTCGATGCAAAGATGAAAACCAAGTTTCTGCGACGTTCAGATAGACCGCCCATTGTTTTAAGTAATCTCTTTGGACAGAGAGCGGTTGATTTTATGATTACTCCTTGTGAAAGAAGAGAAATAAGCTTTTTCAATGCATGACACTCAATCCCTCGCCTTTGATTTAATTTGTTTCTTATCTGTTCAAGGTGTATTATTGCATCGCGATCCTGCGCCATTTGCAACAGGACATTTTGCGAAAGACACAACAGAAACAACTTTTGATTTTCCTGAAGGTGAGTTCAAGCCGTGTTCGACCGGTTCTTTGCAACATTTGTAGCTTATTTCCGTCTGGTTCAAACGTTGGATTGTTATTTATCTAAAGGCTAGCTCTATTATCCTTTTAAAAACCAGTACTTTTACATTTTTGTGATTAAAATATGAGTAGAACTGTTCAACAGTCCAGGGATGCAACAGAACGCGGGCTGAAAGATACATTCATCTTGGCGGTACTCGACATTCTAGCTTGTTCGTAGTTACGATGGCTTACCAAGAAGCTAGGATGCAACAGCAGGTTTTAAAGCACTAAAGAGATTCATACACTATCATATATAGATTTAGGAATCTTTGTAATGCACAAACCTTGGAATAAGGCACACCTCCCAAAGCCAGACATTGAGCTCTCATAGGTAGTATGGTGTGGCAACCATTAAACCTAAAGCTAAAGACTAACTTAACGTAGCTGAAAGTTTTTTTTTTAATTTATTTTTTTAAGGAAAATCCAATAGGTAATTTCAAAGTTGCTGACCAACTGACGTTCATGCAGGAATTAGAGGCAAGATATCGTCCAACCATCCTGTGCGATCTTCAGAACATCACCAAACCATGACGTTGCTCGCTTTATGTAGTTCTCTGCAAGTTGAAAACGAGATCTTTGAATTTCAATCAGCAGCGAGAGAGTATTCTAATTTTATAAAATTTCCTGCAAATTGTCGAGCCTTAAATGAAAGACTGGGAATGACAAAACATGCGCAGCACGTGCACAGAATCGTTTGCGGGAAGTCGAGTCTCTCTGGAAACATCTTGACTATTCGGGTAGATTTTTACGTCATGCACTGCCCCAGTTTTCTTGGTCCGAGCCCGAGTGTTTCGAAATTGAACTATTCACACTCGCTATTGATGCACTGGAGCTAAATGATTTTAAACTTTTGTTTAGAAAGGTCTTCTGAAACGGAATTATTTGTGGTAGAAAGAGTAACATGGCCACAATCACTTTTTAGAAATATTTAGATAAGATAAGAATGTATTTAGTTTGTCCAATTTAAGAGAAATTCCAAGTACAAGTAAACAAAATACCCCAAAGGACTGTTAAAGCCTGGTGGAGGTGTTTTTATTGCATTTCTACTTTTATTGTTATATAAAATCATGTTTGTATATAAATGTATACTATACAATTAATTTAGTTAATTTATTATTTAAATATTTGTATTTAAAGTTGTATAGTGCTCGTCCATACAAATATTCTGCTGGCTATCATAGCAGAGGAACATTTGAAACGTTCAATGAAAACCTTTTTTTCTAAAAACAGTATAATTATTGTTGCTGCTACAAATATGACGCTGTATAGAAGGAAAATAAAGAAGTCGGAAACAGGATAATTAGTATTGACTTAAGCTAATGTTGACGAAATGATTATTAAATATCTGGCCGGAAATCGAGCATACTTTCTGTCTGCGCTAATGAATGAGTTTGTTTATCTTTTGTCTGAAATATCTTTATAGCCAATCAGCTTACGTTTGATCAAGGTGTGTCCATAAGATAAAGAAACAATTGATTGTAATTTTTTAGTCAGTCTGAGATATAATTTGTTGTGTATGCAAGAGGATCTAAAAAAATTTAAAATCTGGGAGATAAAAGCGACAGTGTGGGTTTCTTGCTTATTCCGCACAAAGTTTTAAGACTCAAAATCTGTTCATTTAGTGCATGACTACCGATCAAATTGGAAGGTGAGGCTCTCTTTCAACCCTAATTGTTTCACTAACTGGTGGTTCCAGTCGAATTTTGTTTGGCTCCAGTTCCTCTCTAGATAATCCTATTGACCCAAGTTTCGTGAATGCCGAAAAGATAAAGAGCTTAACTTATGTTCGCCATCCTACTTTTAAAACGCCTAAAATCTGTTTTCACAAGCTTTGATTTCATCATGCACCGTAGCGACGTAAATTTCTTCTTTTGCTCATTTTGTTTTGAACATATTTGACAGGAGAAAAAAATTCGTTTTATTGCTTTGAATAATTATTTTTTCAGGCGGCTGAGTTAGTGTTTTATTATTATTATTATTATTATTATTTGTTCCGCATGTAGGGCTGGGCAACAACTCCAAAGTGAAACAAGAATTATTTACACAATACCAACAACTCAGAATGTTTCTTTTTACCATTGCTTTTACCTTAAGCAACATCTTTTAACGATGGCACAGAAGTACGTGTTTTAAAGACAAGCTTAACTGTTTGCCACTTATTTCTTTGGAAAAGCTACTCGTGTATACATTGATGTGTGAAAAAAATAGTACTAAACAACCTACAACGGTTAATCTTAAATTTAATTTTTCGACTAAGAACATGATCAATAATAATTTTAAGTCCCGGATCTAATACAGAGTCCATTCCAAGGTCCAGTCTGAAGTCCATACCAATGCATCTTTTCCGGCTTGTTTATTTTATCAAGATGTAGGATTCTTATGTCAGACTGCTAAGCTTTTAATTGTTCCACAAATCTGTAATTTATGAAGACGCTCCATTACTTGTTCCATGTGACAAGTCGCTAGTTTTATTCGATTAAAAAAATCGAGGGTAACCTTTGAGCTCTTTTAGTCGTGTTCCAAGATTCCTTGAATATAGTTATACGTGAAAATAAGTTTGTTATAAGTTTGCCACAGGCCCAGTGATACGCGATTGGGCTCAGAAGAAGCTTTTCCTTATTTTCCCTATTTAAGATAGCCCGAAGAATTCGTTGTTGGAAACTACCTAGGATTTGACAATCCCTTGAGTATTTTTATCTAATTAATCGTTGAGTCTTTTAAGTGATGCGTCTGAGACAAGGTCAAGCTAAGTGCCAAGAAGTTATTATTACGTAACTTAATGATTGTCACGGTAGACACGAAACTTCCTTATGTTCAAACCTCTGAAGATTGAGGGAATTGAAATGTTATGGATTGACTTTTTTCGTTACATTTATTATGGCTTTTGGTTGAGTAAAATCGAAAAAATAATAATGACAAAAAAGAAAAATGGCAAATAGACATCATTTAATCAACGGCAGTACTCATTCCTTAGTCAGCGCGAAACCGAGCAACTAAAAGGTTCGCCTCTTTGGAAATTGAAAGCTCCCTGAGGAAAGAGAAAAGTAACCAATTAAAGGATGGTTTGGTTCATTTCCAAAGAAAAAAAGGAACGAGACAATTGAATGGAACAATTGAACAGCAGCAAACAAAAGCTGTATACTAAATGATTAACCAGCCTATCAGATCGTATCAAGGCATTCGTGCGTGATCATTCGCACGTTCAATCGCTTGGTACATGTAGCGCTTATTTGTTATTATCAGCGGTGTGGGGTCAAAACAAAGTCGTTTTACCACTAGAAGGATGGATATACACGAGTGAAACTTCATTAATGTGACTGCAGCGAGACTTTGTGTAATCATGAACGATTGGGCGCCTTTAAGAAGGGTCAATTCAGTATTCCCTCCGTTCTCCGAAGTCAACGAACTCGACGAGCTCGACGGCAATGACGATGAGAATGGTTGCCACTCTATACTTCGCAAGCACAAATCACTTCCTCCACCGCGGAAAAAAAGTGTACAGTTTGCAGATGGCTGCGGGAAACCTCTCGTTTCTGTTTACAGCGACGATGAGTACAACATACACGTCGCTTTGCAAATGACCAAACGTGAACTTCAGCGAGCGAAGAAAATTTTACATGTTTGTTTTCCACAACCGGTTGCTTCAGAACAGTTCCGAGACAAGCTAGAGTTGCAGACGGTTTGTCTTGAAAACGCAGTGGCTTCACAAAATTCAATCTGGGGAACGATAAAGGTGAAAAATATCTGTTATCACAAACGTGTATCAGCCAGGTACACTTTAGATAGTTGGATTTCTTCCACAGACTTAGATGCGGTCTATGTACCTGAATCGAACGATGGCGCAACAGACAGATTTTCATTTGCTATAACGCTTCCTGAATACTTCCTCGCTTCTGGAGGAGCTTTAGAGTTTGCTGTTCGCTTTGAAGGCGAAGGAATTGAGTTCTGGGACAATAACAGTGGCCGAAACTACCGCATTGAGTGTTTGGAGGCCACGGCATCGAACGGGGGAAAGTTCGATAGAATGGCGAACTTATTTAGAAATGGTTTTAGGCAGTGAACAAAGTAACAGGAACAAGAGATTATATCGATATTTCCGCAACCAACGAAGTGAAAATAACAAGGGAGCGAACACTTTCGACCACTATCTAACCGGAAATTTCTTTGTTTCTTTGTGTACTCCAATTAACACCACGTTTGTAATTTTTTCTCGAGGCCGCTTTCCAGCTATCTTTTAATACTTCGATGTCAATGTAAAACACCACCAGGATGAGGACCACGTTTGCCACATTCAAAGTCCAGTTCAAATACCGAAAGACGATATATTAGGGATTATCGTGTTTCGTTGCATGGGAAAGGTACGACCTGGACATAAAATGTACTTGAGAATTATCACGCCTTCCGGCGATGTTTCGTGGGGATTGATTTTCACGTGAGTTCTATTATAACATAGTAAATTTCTTGTAATCTTAGCTATTTGTAAGTTGTTGTTTCGATGGGTAAAGCGAAGTCAGGAAAATGAAACTTAATCACTTATCAATATTGACAAAATGACTAGAATTTGAAATTAGTTATGCCCACAACGTGACATTGTCACGCAAGATATGAATTTTTTTGTGTTTTTTTGTTTTAAAGGCTTGGAAATTGTGTCAAACAGTTTCAATTCTTCCTACTACAGTGGTTCCTCTGAAAACTATTTTCTAGTTTAGTTTTTGACGAAGTAAACTTTGATTTTCCGTTAATCCATGGTAAACCTTCAAATATCCTATATATGATTTCTGTTTTTGATGTAGTTACTGTGATTTGTGAGATTTTTTGGCAGCTTCTTTAGTTCTATATTTTAAGAGAATTTCTATTTTGATCTCTGGGAGAGCTTTCAGAAACATTTTAAGGCTTTTTACAAGCCCTTCTTTTACTTCATCTTACAACTTTGAACTTAAAACACTTATGTCTTATCTGTTGTAGATAAAAATTATGATCAGTAGCGATAATTTTCTTTTAGCACAAATCTGATCTTCATTTGCACACTGTACTTTTTCAATGTTGATTGCTGTTGAGAGGCTTGAAGCTTTGCTCTAAAATTTATTATCTTTAATAAATTTAATTTCCATTTATTTAGTATGAGTTAGTAGTATTTTTCTACTGATTTTTTCATTATATGAAAAAGAAGCAGTTTTTTTAAAACATTTAACAAAAAAAATTGCGAATAAAAGATTTTGTAAAAGCATATTAGAAATATGTTGAGATGTTTCAACATTTGGCTAATGTCATTATCAAGTCAAAGAGTGAAAGATAAAAAATGGAACGTTTTTTTAAACAAAGAGTTTTGCACAAATGGAATTAGTCTGCATGTTGAGACAAGGATTGCGCTGCTTGATGAAAAGCATCTCATAGACAGGACAGTCATATTTTTCCTTGACACTTTTTTTGTTTACCGATCGCAGAGTTTTTATGTTAAACAATATGTTGGTGGAGGTGTTGAGCTGTAAAGCCGATATAATCTGAATCACACAGATCACATATAAAAGAGTGAACATTTTTTATCTCTCACTCTGACTTGATAATGACATTAGCCAAATGTCGAAACGTCATCAACATATTTTCAATATGTTTTTACAAAACCTTTTATTGCAATTTTTTAACATTAAAGATTTTTTTGTTAAATGTGAAAGAAAGCAATGTTTGTTTAAACTTAAACATCAGCTAAATGAGTAACTCAATGACAATCAAACAAGAACATTATGATAAAAATTCCTTTTTAATTGCTGGGAATTAAGGGAACATCATAAATAAGAAGTCACTGTTAGCAAATGAGCATAAATGTTACTGCAAATTTTGGATGATGTGAACCTTTTACTGACCAATTTCGAGGTCTGGACCACAAGTTACGGTCCAAGTTTTTTAAATGCTGATTTATGGCCCAAGTGCAAAGCCTGTGGGTCATTAATCTGAGAAGAAAAATAATGTTTTGTAACTTACAGTACGGACCGAGAAAACAAGGTTAGATATTAGATATATCTCTGCACTCAAAAGATTTCAGTTGTAACAAATTTTTGAATTTAGTAGGCTGTATAGTGAAATATGGCCCGCTAAAATTGACCAATCACAACACACTTACCAAATGAGAGATACAATGAGTAATAGTATTGTAAAAAATATGTTTATGTATTCATCAGCTTTTCAGGTTGCATAGTGATTGTAAAAGTGATTACTCACATCAGCATTAGTAAATGTGGGTGATATTTATCAGACTTGTTTTTGACTCCAATTCTTCAATTTCATCTCCACTTAAGTGAACAGAATTATTGTGGTTTATTATCTAGTCTCCAATTCCAAATCATTGTAGCCATAGCATTGTATCTGAAATTGTGGCCAGATATTCAAAAATCTTTAGGATTCCTTAGCATTTACCAACTTATTACTTAGTCAAAAATGTTAGATTAATGTTCAAGGAAATTGTGTTGGAACCAGTTTAGGTTTAATCAGAGGCCTCAATGTTTTGCCAAACATTTGATCCAGAACATGTTGCATTTATATATTACACAGAAAACAAATAATCAACCATTTTTATCTGAATTAATCAATCAGTACAGGTAATTTTGCTACACACAAAAAATTGAAATACTTTTCATAGATTACTTTCCTTGACTGGAAAAGGGCAGTAAGAAATTCTTGTTTTATGCCTTCTTTCTCTTTTTATGCCTTTTCTTTAGAGAAAAGGTGTGAAATAGTCTGTGTCACAATAACATATACACAGTTGCAAAAACAGCACCATCCAACAGAGCATAAACTATACACAATGTAACAAAACTTGAACCACAAACAATGAGATTGAAAAGTTTCTGTGTAGTGTTCATATATCTTCATATTAAACAGAAATTTAATTATAATCTTTTTCACATAAAATCTTTCAAAGATAATTCTTTCTTTCAGGAAATGGATAGCCTCAATTATTATAATGTAAATAATCATCTTACCCATAGGGCCTTTCTGTCTCATTGTTCATGGAATTTTTTAGGTGTTGACATTTTTGCAACGGGGTGTCTCACTTTGATCCACTTTCAGATCATGGCAGGTTTAGTGGCCATCTTGCATGAATCATGCGTATTGTAAAGGCTCTGTTAGAGTGAGAGGTGTATAAATTTACTTTGTCGATTTTGTAAAGTGGCTTAGCTGTTAGTCTAAGTGGAGTCACTTATTTTTAAAAGTTGATGAACTCAGTTTTGTAATGTTATTAATGTCATTGTGTGTTAACTTATAAATGAACAGCTTAATACCAGTAGGCCATAATATTTTTTGTAATATATGACATCTTTTAAGTAGGGTTGAATGATGTATTGAAGAAAATATCCTTTGAAAATATTGTTAAATGAATAAAAGTGTTTGAATATGTTGTGCTGTGAAATAGTTCAAATACTGTATGAAAGTATGTTCTGCAATTTGGTGGTAACAACTGAGTTGAAAGCGTAAATTGGCCACCGTAAAGAGTTAAAAGGCTGACGTTTCAAGCGTTAGCCCTTCGTTCGAGCGATTGACGAAGAGCTAACGCTCGAAACGTCAGCCTTCTAACTCTTTACGGTGGCAAATTTAGGTTTTCAACTCAGTTGTTAACACCAAATTACCTGTTATACTTTCCCACCGACGCAGCACCACAGTTTCTTTAGAAACTTACCCCCCTCCTCTCATGTTCTGCAATATTCATTACATTTCCATTTGTTTCATTTCGTTTTCATGTAGAGTGACTGCTTCATCTCATGCTTCCCTTTAATTTTCTTACAAGACAGACGAGAAATGCTTTGATCTTGTACCCAGATCTCCAAGAAACGAACTGAAACCATCCCTGATTCTCTCCATTTTTAGTCGTGAAAACCACCACCTTTTTCAAATACCCGTTCTTGCGCATGTCCGGTTGTGATGATAAATATCCACATCCATGCAAGACATTCATTGTAGGTGCTGTTATTTATGTTATTTATTCTCGGCGGAAATTATCATGCATTCTATCATCGTATATTAAGGTGTGAAAGGCTAAAGCATTGCTTTCCAAGACATTGACTGTGTGTCAGTTTTTCGTAGGTTCAGCATGAGCGTCTTGCCTCTCCAACTGAGTGGTTCAGCTGTAGATTTTCACGTCATAGGGTACGTAGGTGTAATCTGTTTTTAGAATGTGACGTAAAATTGACGTTTAATTGCTTCTGAAGCTAACGCCTGTTCAAGAGGCGCGTTGTATATACGTAAGACTGTTATTATCTTCTCCACGGATAGGTGATAATTTATTGTACCCGCTGACGGCATTCAAGTGGCGAACTCTTAAAGTATGTAGGTGGTATGCTGCGTCGGTGGGAGAGTATAACAGGGTCATTTGGTATTATTAACCAAGTTGATAACGTAAATTGGCTGGAGCAAATGGAAACTGACGAAGGGCTAACAAGCGAAACGTTAGCTTTGAAACTCTTAACGGTGGCCAATTTACGTTATGAACTCAGTTGATAATACCAAATTACCTTGATAAGGTATATGACTGGCTGTCTCGATCTTCAAGTAAGATAAACGATAACTTGTTGCATGCTCTAGTTAACAGCCGCTCCACTCTGTAGACTATCTCGATCTCCATTTGAAACGCACGAAAATTACAAATTGTTACTGCAGCCAACGCCCGCTTAAGCCTTTAACTCCCAGATCAAATTTGTAATTCTCCTTACTGTCAACCATACAATTCTCTTATTGTTAGTTCAGAGATTTTAGTATTGGATCTAATTATCCCCAAATTGATATTTTCTTTGTTCTCATCACTTATGTGGTCGATTTTGTATTGATACTATGAGGAGAAATTCTTTTTTGGTCACTCATGGGAGTTAAAGGGTTAAGAGGCGAAGTGTGTAGGTATACGGACTGACTCGGTCTTCTCCATTGTTAGTCTTCCGTCAACAATCTCCAGTCACCTGACACCTATCAGAGTCTGATAAATCAAGCTTGAAAATTTGAGCATTGAACTTTTGTTTGAGCGTCTCCCCTGAAAACATGGCATTATGCCGAAAATTAGGCTTGAAATGATTCATTATGCTCAATTTGATAAATGATGGAATCATAGCTTTTATAAGCCCCTCTACCATTCCCCGCCCCTGCCCACTTAATTTCCATCACCACCAGGAACCACATGGTAAGACCGGAAGAAGCTTACCGAAGTCCAGAACACGACATTTTACTGAATCAATTTTCTAAAAAGCAGACAAGAAGCGAAGGCTCACAATTGACAGTACTCAGGCTACAGAACTGATCTCTTGTTGAACATCAAAGGAATTTTAATGAAGTTTAGTCATTTTAGCGACATCTTGCTCAATGCTCTGACTACAGCATCATGCCGGCATAATTTATCTGACCTCAAACACCCATCGAAATAAAGGCTGTCACGTCATTACTTCATGCTGTTTTGGTTGTAGAAGCCTATTTCACAACTCTTTTGGGAATAAGATGAAAAAATTCATCAAATTCTGACGTAACAAGAGGTAACCGGAACTTGCAAGCACCACCGCTTTGTTAAGAAAATGCTCTCTCATGCTCTCATTGAAAAATAAATGAATGAATGAATAAATTATCCCATTATCCTCTCTTTGTCTGAAGTCTGTAATAAAAAAAATCGATTAAAATCAGTAGATATATGGCTCGAATATAAAGCGGTAGATGATATTTACAAATACTGCCAATCTACATATCCAAAACGAGTTGGACATCCTTCCCATCCAATTTTCCGCAAACAGAAATTTAGCTTGATGAATTTTTTTTTTTTTCAGCAGCATTCGTAAAATAATTACGCTTTTTGTTTCGTGGTTTTTTGCTTGAAAGCCTTTGACGCAACATTTTTGAAGCTGAAAGCATATTGCCGGCCATTTATTTCCACGATGATATGACGTCATTGCGTTTGAATAAATTTATTCACTCATGCATGCACCAAGTCACGAACGGAGTTCAGACGAACTGAGAAAATGTAAACATGCTGCTCTGCACGAACAGTCGCGAAAAACCGCCTTAATGTCGAACCACTTCGTACCGGTTAATGTTAAAGGCAATCCTGGATTCCAATAATAACTTCTTCTTCCCGTGTTTGGGAGAAAAGTTACTTATGAAGATCATGAAAGAACAACAGGAGAATACGGATTCGCCGCTTCTTTCGCCTTCGGATTTGACGTCGAAGCGGCGAGTTCACTTTGCGGATTTTGATGGTCAGGATCTGGTCTCTGTTAAAATTATTACACCGACAAATAGCGAAGAAGACTTGTCCCTGAAAAAGGTAGTGGACATCTTGAATCACTCTGCCACGCCGGTTCATTTAAAACGGTTCAGTTGTTGTTTTACACAACCTGGGCAAGATGAGAACTTTTTATCTCGTGTGATAGAGCGAAATGTTTGCTTGGAGAACGTTGTTTTTTGCGGGTTTGCCATGACCGGGACTGTGAGAGTAAAAAACATCGCCTTTGCGAAAGAAGTCACCGCAAGATACACAGTAGATGGATGGAAAAACTTTCGCGATGTTTGGGCCGATTATGTACTAAAATCATCTGATGGAGAAACTGACAGATTTCAGTTCAGAATTTCAATTCCTCAAGATGTTGATGTTGGGGCGAAACTCGAGTTTGCAATTCGATACCGTACAGCTGGTGAAGAGTATTGGGACAACAATTTTAATCGTAATTATAGTGCAGAATGTTTCCTCCATACGATTGTCGACAAATGATGTACACCGTATCTTCCAAAGGTTTATCGAGCATCCCGCAAGTCACTGTGCATTATTACGTTTACCTTCGACGTCGTCAAGTTATCGTGTCTGTGCGTTTGGAACGACGGTTTCGAATCAGAAAAGGGCAAAAGAAGTGAACAGAAAGTTATAAAACTGCTGAAAAATAGTACATATTAAAACAACAAACGTGATAGAGCAATAGTACGGTGGTACAAGTTTTCCGGTAGGATTTTAATATTATATAAACAAGTCACCTCGAATGTAAGCCATTCATATTTTTGTCGAATAGATTTATGCGACTTGTGGCTAAAAGGAAACGAACTTGAGTATTTTGTGCTCCTGTGCGGAGAAAACGTATTTTACATTGTTAATAATGTCAACTTAGGTAATCGAGTTTCGATCGTTGCGTTTTTTCTAATTTATGCGTGAAAGTGAACAATAATCTCTCATGAAGATCATTTCAGTTTAACTAACGACTTTATTTATGGAAAACTCGAAATTTATATATCATAGATTATTTTTCCAAATTCTTAGTACCAAACCTGTGGTTTAAATCGAGAATAAAACAAATATTACGAAAGCGTAATCGAACGGCGACTCCGTGGTCTTATTTTAATAAGAACAATTCAGTCCAAGCATCCATCGAGAGAATCAGCATACTTTAATTAGACTTTTGTCTTCAACTTCTCTTTTTGTATTATTGGATAAAAACTCGGCAAGGGCAAAGATCGATGTGTGCTAAACCAACTAGTTTATATCACGGTGATATTACCTGAACATTTCCTGTGGCGTGACAACTCTTGAATAGCGTGATTTTTGCACACCATCGCGTCCGATAGTTCAGAAAAGGAAAGTAACGGTCAACCAAGGTTCGTTTAACTCCAAATGTAGAGTTTAAACTTTTGAAACGCCTGTTTACTTGTAAGTTGGAACCACCGCTGGGTTATGGTGCTTCGTTCTTTTCTACTGTGACGTTACCTTACCGACCTGGGGTCCCACACACCCTTGTGTAGATGCCTTAGTGTGCGCACCTAGAGCAAGAGCGATTAGCTAACCTCCGAACAGGCCCTTATATTAGCGCTACAGGACGTGAGTTTTTTTCGCCCTGTAAGAGATATCAGATAAGTCGGGGAGAGGTTTGCCGGGGGTCTGGCACAATCAATCAGTTTTAGACTCCCTTGCAAGCCTCACTACGACGCCTCATGCTCTCCCTTGGCAAAGAAACGCTTATAGGGAAGCGCTGATGATGAGAACCTATTCAAAGCCTAGCGACTTGTTACAGCTAAGATCCCTTCCCCTCAAACCAGAAAAAATTATTCAGGCATCTTTAAGATACTGATGCAATTTTCATCCTTTTTAGTTCTCTTTCCGGTTTAAACAGGAACAGGTTATTCCCTTTGCTGTCTTCCCAATTTCAATGTTCCTCGGCCAATGTGAGTTCAAGTTAACCCTGTTTATCCTATCCTCGATGCCTGTCGATAATAGGAAGTTTGCTAGCTCCAGGCGTGCGCACGCGAGTCTACGCAAGATTGGAAGCTGCACTCCGGCTTTAACGCCGATGTTCTATCGCAGAATTACTGAGAACTCGATGGTGAACCTTACAGACCATGGTAGCGCAGTAGTATAGCATCGAAGCGTGCTCTGTACAGTACCACGCCCGTGAAAGAAACGATTAAAATTTTTCCTCCTTGAGATTCGAACCATCTTTCTTATCATATTTACAAATTTAGAGGTGTCGAACAACATCACCATTTATTAAGCTGTGATGTCCTCTTCAACAAACATCGTAATTTTTAAGGTGATGAAGGGTTTAAACAAGCATTAGAAAATCGTTAGTTCTACATTCTGACAACTAAAAGCCTTTTCCATCGACCAAAAAATTGAAATCATTCATTTTATGACAAACACTGTCTCGACATTGTCACGCCAGACAAAACCCTTCGATGCTTCTTCCTTCCTCAATCCGCGCAGGTCAGCACACAAAGAAAAATCTAATAACAAATTGCTGCAAAAGTAGGCCAAAATATTGAGCACAAATTCCATGAAACATATTGTTAAATAAAATTGAACTTTCCACGCAAGTAAAATGTACTAGAACTCCGTATGGACGCTCAAGATGCGACCTCACGCACGTCTTCGACCTAAAGGGACATCGATAATGACGTCATAGGCTGTCGGCGCTTTCTGACGATTCAATGTCCGCATGCCATGTCTATAAATGTCCTCATGAACAGATTTTGGGTGCATTTTGTCCGGCTTTTTCACCATATCTAAAGAAAAAGGAAAGCTTTTCTCAGCCTCGAAGTCCTACTGAAATATTTCCTCACCGATTCCGGTTGTTGTTCATAAGCTACGAATGTTTATTGAATTCATGAAGTTAGTCACGCTTTTTTGGTGACGTTCGGTTGGCGTGTGTCCAGTTGATATAAAAAGCTTTTAGGAAAACAAACCGTCACAAAATCTAGTTCAGGGTATCGTGAAAAGATATTTACACGTGAGGAAAAGTATTGTTAAATAACACCCCGACGGTCAAGAGCTTTCGCTGGGAAATCTTTCGCTGGCAATCTGAGAAAGGTGTTTGGCTTTTGCATCGAAGAATCAGGCACGATAAAAGCTCTGGAACATTTGTAAGTAGAAAAATATATTGTTTCTTCAGTATGATTATTTCTCAAAGTTGATGGGATGGTCGGTATACAAATCAAAACTGCGTTTTAAATTATTCCTTCCATTCGAATTTGTGCAAAACATGCATAGAACCTTGGCTAGGCGCAAAGATCGATTAAGGCCAAAATATCGTTCATTTTAGATTCCGAAGTGACGTCAATCTTCCGAGTTTTTCCGAGCAGTGGCATCACTTGCCCGACTGCCGGATACTGAAAGGAAAGACTTGAATCACTTGACCGGCTGTGATCCGAAAACAGAACAGAAATGAAGATGGATGCGAAAGCTAATAGCTCTGGGCCGACTCTAACAGGGTCTGCGACAAAGAGAGTCAGCTTCGCAGACCTAGTTGGTCTCAAACTCGAGTTCGTGAAAACAATAACTCCGTGCAGTAGCGAAGAAAACTTAATCGCCCTGGGTGCTCGGAAAAACAATCGTGATGTCAACGGTAATGTGACCAGAAGACAACGAAGTAAATATCGATATCTTTGCCCGTGCTTCTTAGCACCTTCACGAGCAGAATGCAGCTTTATGGAAAGAGTTTTCAGCCAGAATGTATCCCTTGAGAATATCGCGTGCGATAACTTTGTTGTTGCCGGACTTATTCGAGTGACAAATTTATGTTACACGAAAGAGGTTTCCGTACGATTTACAGTAGATGGCTGGACGTCTTATAAAGACATTTGGGCAGATTACCTGTCTTCTTGTTCAGATGGAAACACTGACAAGTTTACCTTTCGTATCACAATTCCCTTTGACTTTGAAGCAAATCAACGCATGGAGTTTGCAATACGCTATCGTGCTTTAAACCAAGAGTTTTGGGACAGTAATTACGGAAATAATTACCATATTCAGTGCATAGAAGTCTGAACTGACGGCCTGAAATGAATGATAAGTGATATCCTAAGAAAACTGTTGAAACGACGAAAACTGTTTAAGGCCGGCCTTTCGCTTTAGAGTGTCATTTATTCAACGACAATTTATTGGTGGAAACAGCTGATGTGAAATAAATAATGACAGAGTATTTGTGCACGGTTTGTTGTGTGATCCCAGATTGTGTAAAAGGCTCTCAAAAACATTTCAGGCCAATATCGTAAATGAAACACTAAAGGCCTCTCATCCTTAAAATAGCGAATTTCGCTTGTTGACTGAAATGTTTCCATATCCAAAACATTGTTTAGTCAATAATGTGTATTACAACACTGACATAAAGACGACCCCATGCGACATTCACTAGACGTTTTTCCTGGTTACAAAATTGGGTTACACGTCTTTTAAACGTTTCGTTCAACTTCCAACTGTAGGAAAACGACATGCAGAAAAACAAAAGAATAATTATCCTCAGATGTAAAAATGTTTGTGATGTCAAAGAAAGCAAAGGTATAGCACAAACGATTCAAAAATTAAAAGAGGCAATGTTCATTGTAAGCTATTTGCATTTGCGTCGTTGTTGTTTGTTTTATCTTTTAAGCATTTTCCACACACAAGCTTTCGTTTGACAGAAAAATGCAACAACTATTAGAAGGATAACACGAGCGAAAACTTAATAACCCTGAAATAAAGGCTTCCATGCCAAGCACGTGCTCAGTTGTGGAAGATTGAATCAAGATCCGAGTTAAAGTAATTTGCATGGAAAATATTTTCCTCAAACACGTCCGTCAGTTGATTTCATAGTTAAACCCTTTAGTTCTCTTTTACTTGAATCGAATCCTGAAGCACTTAGGCCTAGAGATTATTATTTCAATCTCAAGGTTACACAGAACATTAGTTAAACTTAAGATAAACACAGAAACAGCAACTTCTGACAAAGAAAATGAGACTGGTCATTTTAATGCCCACACTACAGTAGCTATGATCATATCATGCTCATTGAACCTGAAAACTTGTAAAACAGGAATATCCGCCGAACCTTAGAATTACGTGTATATCACCAATTAGGCCAATATCCTAAATAAAAATGTCAGATCGTTTTCCCATGCAACAAAATGATAATTTCAATTCTTGATCAGTTGAAATTTCCATTTCGCTTTAGTCAGACTCAAGTAAGTTCTAACTGTAAAGTGCTTTCGAGCCAATAATGATGATGATAAAAAGAAAAGAACAGGGTACGTGACAGTGAAGATTACAGAACAAAGAATTTGCAATTTGATCAGTCATTACCAGCGCTACCAATCTCACTCGTTAACAAATAATTAGTTTTGTCAGGAGTCATTCAATTTGCATTGTCCTTTTTTCCTTTTTCTCAGACAAAAAGGAGAATTAATATCGTTGCCTAAATACTGTAATAGCCGTTGAATTAATCAGGTGTCATAGTTGATATATCAAGCTCAGACTTTCCCCTGCGCTGCTCACTAATTCATACTCCACCTGTCTACTGAGTCAACAGTAGCAACAAAAGAAGCAGCAGTAATATAGAATATAGAAGTAAAAGATTTAGTAGTAGCAGTGGCAACAGACGTAGTAGTAGTACTATAACAAAAAGTATAGTAGTAGTAGTAAAGTGGCAGTAGAAGTTGCATAGTAGTAGTATAGTATTTTAGTAACAGAAGTGGTAGCAACATCAACAGTAACAACAGCAACAGTAGAAGTTGTATAACAGTAGTATAGTAATAGTAGTAGTAGTAGTAGTAGTAGTAGTAGTAGTAGTAGTAGTAGTAGTAGTAGTAGTAATAGTAGTAGTATTAATGGTAGTAGTAGTAGTAATAGTAGTAGTAGTAGTAATAATAGTATTAGTAGTAGTAGTAGTAATAGTAGTAGTAGTAGTAATAGTAGTAGTAGTAGTAATAGTAGTAGTAGTTAGTATAGTGCAATCGTCCGGGTAGTAGTAGCAGTAGAAAAGAACTGTTGTTGATGACTGACGTTTCGACTATCTGTGCGATAGTCATCTTCAGAGTCAAGTGAGGAGTAGTTGTCAGTCGATGATGTTATAAAGTCTGGTCTGTTGAACGTGATTGGTCTGTTTAGCCGAGATGTGATTGGCTGGAAGACTCGTGTAGAGTTTGTTAACAGTCATTGGTCGGTTTCGATCCGTCTGTTGTTGGTCGGTCTGTTCTGGTCTCAATAGTAGCAGTATTAGTAGTAGTAGTAGTAGTAGTAGTAGTAGTAGTAATAGTGGCACAGTGTAGTAAGCAGCAGCAGCAGTTGGCAGTAGTAGTAGTAGTAGCAGTGTTAGTAGCAGCAGCAGCAGCAGTAGCAGTAGTAGTAGCAGCAGTAGTAGCAGTAGTAGTAGTAGCAGTAGTGTAGCAGTAGTTGCAGCAATAGTGGCAGTAGCAGTAGCAGCAGCAGCAGTAGTGCAGTATGCAGTAGTAGTAGTAGCAACAGCAGTACACAGTAGTGGTGTAGCAGCAGTAGCAGTAGTAGTAGTTGCTAATACTATAGTAGCAGTAGTAGTAGTAGCAGCAGTGCAGCAGTAGCAGTAGCAGCAGCAGCAGCAGTAGCAGCAGCAGTAGCAGTAGCAGTAGTAGTAGTAGCAGTAGTTAATAATAGTAGTAGTAGCCAGTAGTAGTAGCAGCAGCAGTAGCAACTAGCAGCAGCAGCAGTAGCAGTAGTAGTAGTAGTAGTAGCAGTAGTGGTAGTAGTAGTAGTAGTAGCAGCAGTAGTAGTAGTATTAGTAGTAGTTAGTGGTTCGTAGTAGCAGTGCAGTAGGAGTGGTAGTAGTAGTGGTAGTAGTAGCAGCAGCAACAGCATGTAGTAGTAGTAGTAGTAGTAGTAGTAGTGTTAGTGGTAATTGGTGGTTGTGGTGGTAGCAATAGTACAGTAATAGTAGCAGCAGCAGCAGCAGTGGTAAGCAGTAGCAGCAGTAGTAAGGCAGTAGTGGTAGGCTAGTAGTGGCAGCAGTGGTAGCAGTGGTCGTGGTGCAGCAGCAGTGGCAGCTGAAGCAGTGGTGCTGTGGTGTCTGGTCCGTTGGGCAGCGTTGTGCTGGGGTGGCAGCAGCAGTAGCAGCAGTAGCAGCAGCAGAGCAGTAGCAGCAGTAGTAGCAGCAGCAGCAGTGCAGCAGCAGCAGCAGGGCAGCAGTAGTAGTAGTAGTAGCAGCAGCAGTAGTAGCAGCAGCAGCAGTAGTAGTGGTAGCAGCAGCAGCAGCAGCAGTAGTAGTAGCAGTAGTGTAGATGATGCTGTACCAGCAGCCGCGCAGCAGCAGCGCAGCAGCAACAGCGTGCGCAGCAGCAGCGGCAGCAGCACTAGTAGTAGTAGTAGTAGTGGTGGTGGTGGTGGTGGTGGTGGTGGTGGTGGTGGTGGTAGTAGTAGTAGTAGTAGTAGTAGTAGTAGTAGTAGAAGCAGTAGTTGCAGGAGCCGTAGTGGTTGTAACGTACCATAATAAGTAAAAGTAATTGTTGTATTAGCAGTAGTTGTTTAAGCACTAGGATGTTTTTATAGCAGTACTGAGTTTATGAGGCGTCTGAATTTTTCTCTTGTATTTCAATTGAGCTATTCAAGAATATCCGCTCGCGTTTTTCTTTAATCATAACTTCGTAATTGACTATTCTACGTTCCACCTAATTCATTTCTTATTTCAATCTTCAGTTGTAATTGTAGTTGTAATGATAATGCTACCCAGTTTTACTGCCTTAATAGAGAAAACTGATGAGACAATGTGTGTGACACTGGCATCTACCGAGCTTGCGAAGTGTCATAATCCACAAAAACAAGCTCGTACTTTCGGACGCTTGCAGTCCAAACTTTGAACTGTTAACGGCGTTTGTCTCAAAAGCATATCCTACCATGACAGTTATGAATAAGAACTACCTTTTGCTATTATGCCGGCTGAGAAGAGTGTTTGGACATCACCCTTGAAAGAAACAATTACATCTAAATTATTGAAACACGTTTAAAATTTTGAAATATTAGGATATTTTCCCCATAACGAGTTTAATATATTAAGACATCATTGTATGCTAAGCGCCAGCGAAGGCCAATAATATCTTTAGAGACAGGAAAGCAATAGAGAAAAAATAGAAAGGTTTTCTTTTTTGCAAATATTTGCTTGAAAAACACGGATGTACATAATCAGTTACGCTTTAAGTCCAGCCTGACGAAAGACTCATGATTCATCTAGACTTCGCTTTCAAGAGCAGAAAGATCAATATGGAAGTAAATTTAAAGAAACAAGAGCACTTAAAATTGTTTGCTTTTTGTTCGTACCACTTTTATCACTAATATATGACTTGGAGAACATGGGCTCGTTGCTCACTTTGGAATTATAGTTATCTAAAGTTTATGTTCATGTAGTAATGAAATATTTTAATGAAACCTTTCCCACTTTAATTCTAAACTAAAAAAAAATAGGCCCGCATATTTATTTCAGTATCAACTACATTCGAAATTGGTGATAGTCCTAAATCTGAACTAGAAATACCCTTAGTGTGGTGTATTGTGCTCTTTTGAGGAAGACTAGAAAAAGTGCATGGGCAAAGAAAAAACGCGTGTCAATTGCTACGCACACAGACCCAACGCATTGGGTTTTTTTTACGCTCTGACAATTTTATATCAAGGTTTTATTTTTCCTCTGGACGGGTCCACAACTCTGTCTGTCATTACCCAATAGTTAGTTTCTATAGCTGTGTGAAGCCGTGATTCAAATCATAGAAAAGACTTCTATCTTGTAGCGGAGATGAGTCTGATGCAAGCTCTATTCAATATGAAAATAACTCTCTGCACTCATCAAACTAGTCTGCAGTACAGGCGTAATTTTAACGAGCGAGCACTCACAATTTTTTTTAAGCAAAAACCATGTACGCTATGTATGATTCTTATGGCAGCAGAAGGCTAGGGAGAGAAAGAAATTTTTACCAAGGGGGGTGGGCGACGGTCAAAATTAAGGAGAGGGGTAGTGGTGGGGGAGTTTTTTTTAGCCTCTCCCCGCCTTTCCCTGGTAAGGTGAAAAGGGGTCAAAGGTACAACCTTACACGTGCCTGTAATGAGCTGTATCCTGAAATCAGCTATAAAACAGTTCGATCATAACAGAGAATGTGTGCTCTCTTTTCGATTCGTCGCTCTTGGCTCAGTGATCTGACCATGATTTTCCTAAAACAAACACAGAAACACCTTAGGCCTGTTACTGCGATGAAACTTCAAAGATCGTGCCTTTTTCACCCCCCTTCAGAGCAGGAAAAGGACCCTTTAGGATCGTAATCAAGGAAAAAGCTCAGCTCGTTGACCCAGCTGAAATTTTCTTCTGTAACCTTCCTTGTCCACCTTCAAGGCTCAAATGATCCTAAGAATGAACTATTTTTAGTTGCTTCTCAGTTAGTTCTCAAGTAACTAAAATGTTATGGCAACAGAAAAGAACACAGCTACCCATTCTTAACATAAAAATGCTGCAAACTAAACATTCAGTAACGGGAATTTTTTGTTCTAATCTTGACCTAAACACCGCAGGCAAGAAACCGTCTTTGTCAGTCTTCGTCGAAATCTTCGTTTGATGCACGCGGTTCTCCTTCTTAGGGCTGAACCGTACTCGCAACTTACATTCCTTCTTTACTACTAGAGTACGATGCATCACAATTCTCGGTAGAGCTTGGTGAAGGTAGGTATTCATCACTATCGGACATAATTTCAAGAGTATTTCAACGCTGACAGATAAAAATTACAAGAGATATGAGATATTTGTAGGTGTCAACTGAGAGTTTTCACAGTTTTCTGCGTCATCATCCGCCAATCCGTCACCAGTCCACGGGACACTTTTAAGACGAGCACTTTAGGTCCCGAAAAAAACCGAATTTTAGATTTTTTGAAAATTTTCTCCAATTGGAATTGGTTTGAATGTATAATAAGCTAAATATTTACGCAAAAAAAATTTCGTGTCATGGACACTTTAAGAGATATTCAAATCTGACGGATTTGTTTTGGTGTAAGGCGACCTTTGAACAGCTACAGTCGTTATGTCATATCGCTGGGAAAACTCTAAGCCTCTGTTTTACGACAATCCTAAAATAATAGTATTTTACTCTGTTCAGCTTTAAGAAATAAGGTATGTCCCAATGTCTCATTTTGAAAGGGCATAGAACGGTTCAGCGACATCCATTCCAGGTTTTTTTCGATGTCAAGGCTGACAAGCTAGTAAGTTATATAATTTATGCTAGATACATTACATAATTTATGCCGAGATTTGTGCACATGCAGGCGCACACGACTTAGTCTCACGTGATCCGTTGATGAAAGCGTGGCATACAATCAACTTTCCCTTAGAATTTCTCTTTTGTGTCATTTTAATCTTTGTTGTGGTTGGATGTTTAAAAAAATCTTGTTTCACGCTGAAAATTGGTCCAGTTTCCCAATGTGTCACCATTCAGATGCTTTAGTTCACGTGCGTCGATCTTTGTGCTCACGTGATCTGTTAATTCTCTGCGCATAAAAATGCATGGAAGCTCTTTACGATCAAGCGTTCTTCGCTTGAGCTTAACGACATCTTTACTCTAGAGGCGTTAATTGAAAATTTCTTTGGCTTCTTCATGGTGAACAAGAAACGAGTAACATTCGCCGATATATTAGGATTCTCACTGGTGTCTGTGGTCGAAATTTATCCTGAAAACTGGTTTCCTGACAGAATATCTGAAAAGCACAGATCTCAAGCTAAAAGTGACCGTAATTATCGACGAAGCCAACTGAAATGCTTGTTTGACCAACCAGTGAACACTGAGGACTTCCAAAGAAGAGTGAAGCGAGAGCATGTTTGTCTGGAAAATGTAGTCTGTGACAAAAATGTTATCCGAGGATTTGTACGTGTGTTGAACGTCGCTTACGCGAAAGAGGTTTTTGTACGTTACACGATGGACGGATGGAAAACCTTCAGAGAACAGAGCGCCTACTATTTGTCGACCTCAAAAGACGTAACTACCGATACATTCTTTTTTGGCGTATCTCTGCCCTCAGACTGGCAAGATGCAAGCACAGTGGAGTTCGCTGTTTGCTACCGTGTTAGCGGACAGGAGTACTGGGACAATAATTATAAGAGAAATTACTCTATACGGCTTGGGTTCAAATGAGGACATGGTGACCTTACATGAAATCAATAGCAGGGTTAAAAGGTTACCTTCTGAATTCTAATACCATGTGTTTATTAATAGGAAAAAAAGAAGAAGAAAAACGCGCATTTCGATATTTCCTCATGTCGCGTGAATAGCGTGACAGTGTAGAAGTGCACAGTCATTTGCATGTTTCGATGTATTCGTGTGGGTTTTCGTTTTGATGAATTCATACCTTCAATGTATTGGGAAACTATATCTGAAAGAAAAAAAAACAGTAAAAAGAAAGAAATGAACAAAAAAAATAACAGAAATATACAAGAAGTGATATAATTCGACAATTGTTCACATCGTGTGACGTGCTGTATTCGATGGCGTGACAGCGTCTAGGGGGTTTGTATGCGCCAAATATCACAATTTTGGTTATATCTGCACAAGGTCTGAGGCTTAGTTTTCTCAATTTTACAAAATTTTAAAAATGAGATACGGTCTTGAAGCCACTGAATATTGTGATCATCCAGTCTGCTTTATGGACCAAAGCCTGTAAGCCGACCTAATCGCTACGCTAATAGGGTCGAAAAGGAAAATCGTCGAAGTGTCATTGGTTTTACTGTTCTCTCTTATTAACCAATTTCAGAGTATTGCAAAACAATGTAAGTGCGTATCCTGCCTTGCTTATAAAACTCATTCTAAAATCATTCCTAACACAAAATATCCCGGTATTAAAATAATGATTTACCCGTGGGAGGGGAAGGGTCTGTGGGAAAATGATCGAAAAGGTTTCCTCCCTTGATAGGGATCTCGACGACTTTCACGCCCTGCCATAGGGTCGGGAATTTGACTTGCCGCCATCTTGGATGACCGCGTGAAACTTGGAAGTCACCTAAAGTCACCATGTAAGGGTGGAGAAATTAACTTTTAAAACCGGGAAATGTAAAATTCCCCTAGGGTTGCCCGTCCCCCCTCCCCGTTCCCTCCATCCTGGAGAAAACTAATGATAGATGCATTAGTTAGGAACGTACCATCCTATTTCGAAGGGGGTTGAATCCTTTTTGTGCTTAGTATACCTTATATCCTGTACAAGAACTCTTCCAAACCTTCCCATTTCCCGATTTTCTTTACTCAATAAATGTCAAAACATTTTAACTGTCGCAGAAAAAGTTCCAACTTATGGCTCTCCCTTTGTATCCTAATATCTAAGCACATTCAACTATACAGAGGAAAGTAAAGTAAATGGTTTGAACCCAGGAGTATCAGTAGTTCGTATAGTGTGATCGTCCGGGTGAGTGTAGTTCTGAAAAGAACTGTTGTTGGTGACTGACGTTTCGACTATCTGTGCGATAGTCATCTTCAGAGTCAAGTGAGGAGTAGTTGTCAGTCGATGATGTTATAAAGTCTGGTCTGTTGAACGTGATTGGTCTGTTTAGCCGTGATGTGATTGGCTGGAAGACTCGTGTAGAGTTTGTTAACAGTCATTGGTCGGTTTTGATCCGTCTGTTGTTTGTCGGTCTGTTTGTCGGTTCGTTCACGTCGTTAATGAGTCGTTTGTAAGGTGCTGGTAATTGTTGACATCTGTTGAGAGGCGTCTGTTCTAAGTTAGTGAACCAGCTTTCCAGAGTCAGTCGTTGAAAATAGTTTGTACTGTAGGTTAACAGTTCTTTTCAGAACTTCACTCACCCGGACGATCACACTACACGAACTATACAGAGGAAATTACTAAAACGAAGAACGGGGAAAGGCGGGACGGGATATGGGGACGGGGAAAAAAAGGTTTTTTTTTTTTTAATTAGAAAGAGGCAGTCTTAGAGTGTGCTTTCTTAGTTTCAAACCAGAGTATGAAATCTATTGTTTGGTGAAGGGACAATTAGCGTCAGCTGAATTTCAAACGACAAAAGACAATTAAAAATCAGAAATATTCTCACGACAATGATGGAACTGAAGTGTGTTTTCCCAACTTAAAGATTTAAACGCCGTCTCTTTTGAGTGCCTGTGACAGTAAATTCCTTCTTAACTGAAAATTGGTAATTTCTAAGTAAAGTGAACTAGTCGCTGTTTTCATAAATGGCCTCGCAGACGAGGTGACAACCAAAGGTAATGACTATGTAAATTGAGCTATTAAGCAGAACAATTGATCCTGAATCTTGAAAAAAACTACTAATGAAAAAAAGTTTTCAAATTCTCTTTGAAAGAAACGATACGGTGAACTAATGGGCTCGTTTGAAGACGCAATGACTCGCTTCCGAAATCGATTGTAAAGTAATTTCAAGGTAGACTTTACATCTTTAGTCCGCCAGCTAATGGCCATGGATCTTATCTGATGCAACTAAAAAATTTACCGCACTTTTTATGTACAAAGAGCATTTTACGCCTTTTATGACTTCATTGGAAAAAAAAATGTGTTAAAATTACAAATGTTAAGTGTTAAAATTTCCTTTTTTTAAGCCGCTCCTCTGATCTTAAAACAGATTTTGCTTAATTGGTTTTAAAACCAATACATTCTCAGAAAAGCAATCAATGTTTGAGATGTTTAAGTTTAAAAGGAAATTGCTGGGCGAAAGCGATTTCATTGTTTTACAGTCGAATTTTTAGCATCAGTAAAATTATTAGAAGTTGAAATATATCTTATGTACAGCTAGTTCATTGTGCTTACTGATGCTAACGTGCTGAGAACTGAATCAAAACATTTTAACTGATTGTTAGCTGATTTGGGCAATTTTGCACTAATAAATTTTCGCTGTCTTTCAGTGATATTTTGTAATAAAACTCTTACGGAAAAAAGCAGTCCATTTTCTCCTGGTAAAAGAAGTTATTATATTCGTCAGCATAGATAATCAAACGCAGAGATGTCTTACTTTACGGACATCAGCTGAAACAACTATGAAAATTTTGTACTTCAATTGCTGATTTTTCTTTTGGGAACAGTCTCACCATCTGTTAAAAATTTTGCTCCTAAATTTTGAAATATTTAATATTTCAGGTTTTGATCAGGGTTTCGTCAACATTTCAAATCATAGACAAAAGCTTTAATGTCCTGCACTTGTCAAAACGCGTCGTATGAGTTAACTCATAATGGCTCTCGAAAATTGCGAACAAATGCCTCATTTAAAAGGACAGCCTTCTCAAAGGGTTCTACTTTTGCGATAACTTATGTCTTAAAAGCTTAATCAGAGCATTGTTAACACAAAAAATTTACAGAAATTTATTCACGCCTTATTAAAGAATTAGGCCTTGATTTTATGTCGCATGCAAGTTTAATTTAAAGAGCTTTTCTCCAGTTCAATATACTCTATGATGTACAGATGCGTGGATCGATAAACTTCCAATATAATAGTGTGCTGTCGTTGAACAGATAAACCTTCGTATGAAATTCATCCCGTTTGATGAGCGTTTACGTCCATGTAAACTTTCGTATGTCAAGTTAAATAAACAATTTTAAATGCAAAATCTCTTTTTGTTGAATTTTGCCCTACAAAAATCACCATCTGAATAAACCCAAGTGGATTCTGTGGAAAATAAAAGTGAAAGATTCGGCATTTTAATGACTCAATGAAGTCCATTAGGCCGACCTACTCTAAAGCTTTCTGTCAAAGATAAGCTAAGAGATTTTCCTAACGAAAATATTGTGGATTCGATAAGAGAAAGCAACTTGTGCTTTCTTGAATAAATGAAGGAACGAATTTTAAAATGTACCAATAGCGCGTAGCCTCTGATTATCGGGCTTGTAAAGTGTAATGGGTTTCCCTCTAGCTTGCTATATAGAGGTTTGCTTTGAAAACTAAGCTTCCTATTCAAGAATATTTTAAATAGAGAGACCGAGATTCGATGCCACCCTCTAGCTTTAAGAACTGCCGCATTTGGTAATAGGGAGAATATTGCTCATATCTTTCAACTTCCACGTCATTTATCAAAAAGTTTGAGGCGTATATAACAAGCAGGTTGAAAAAAACACAAAACTAGTGTGAACAGCCGTTGTTGTGTTGGCCTCATCACATGAAAGCTGTGAAACAAACTCTCACCAGAAAAAGTCGCTAAATTGTTAAAGTAAACGAATTTAGTTCTTTAAGGTCGTAGTGACAAACTGTAAAGCCGGGAGAAGCTTTCTGGGCTGGGAGAAATCTAACGTTTTGTTCAAGCCATATCCCGACCCTCAAGTTTAACCGAAGAAAAAAAACAGAAAATTTTAAAACTCTACCGAACTTGTAAATTTCGATCTAAACTGAAATGAGAACAGAAGTACAGGACTAGTAAAAGCTATATTTCTGCTTTCTGTTGAAATGTTCGAAATTGAGGATAGTTGACTCTGGCAACATCGGCAGAAAACTACATTTTAGCATTAATCTTTTAGTTCAGCGAACTTCTGCTGATACAAAATAGTCACGAATTTTCTGCGTGGAAATTAAATTGGAATTTTTGCATGCGGCTATTTCGTAAGTACAAATTATATTTACTTAACCTGTTTACCTAATGCGTAAATAGAAAGACAGCGTCATTTTCTAAGCCAGCTGTTTCACCCAACAAAGGAGAGCTTCTGAGGAACTTAAGCAAGCATACGTATGTTGACGCAAACGAAAACAATAGACTGTTTTGCATCTTCAACTAGAGGTTCCCTTCGATTGCCGCTCAGGCCACATCTTAAGGGATACATTCGCCCTTTTCTCGTTTTACAAATGAAAGAACAGCTTTCAATGATACATTGAACAATGATAACATGTAGTTTTGTCAGTAAATTAGATGGACATAATCTTTTCTTTTACGCAAATTTTCCTCTACTGGATCATGACGAAAATGTTGATATTCAAGTCCAAACGTTTTTTTGGGGGAATATATTTTTAAGAGATAACATTCATTTTATATAATCTCCAAACAGATCGATATGCGCTGATGAATGAAGCCTATCGTACACAATTTGTATTTGCGGCATGCAATATCAATACTGCCAGATGCCTCGATTATACAATTCTTTATCACATTGAATTTTTATAATTCCAGCGGAAAGGCGAAGCTCGCTTATTTATCTCTTTGTTAATCAGCGTAAAAACTTATCTTTTGCTTTGAAACGGCTAAGAATTACAAGAAAGGGGAGTACATTTAGCAATTTCCTGTACGCCTACAAGGGGAAGAGAAGGCTTTTATTGAGACAGCTACCTGCATTGAAACCAATCACTGGTTGGCGCTTTTAACTTCCGTTCCCAAACTCCACGACGACGTGAAATAAAAGCGAATACACTTATTGCATTTTATTTGCATGTTACACTGACAATAAGTGAAGGCCGCTCTGTCATTAGAAATAACAAACCCCCTGGATTGGTAGGTGCCCAAATCCCTCAATTGTTTCATGAGAATTTTGATCTTCAAAAGCGCGCGCGATATTTATGACAAGAAAAAAAGTTAAGGAAGCCAAATTTTTTTTTCTGAAAAAATACTCTGAGAGAGCGGATATCAAATATTAGGTCAAATTTGGAAGAAAGAGTCGTACAGGCGAAGGGAGCAGATATCAATATCAGTTCGTATATAATTGATTTAAATTTTCCGCAGCTGCAAAACCAACTCGAAGCAATTTTACCTCCAATACTTTTCTAGAAACTTCGCATGTTTTCCCCGAATATCAATAATAACGATAATTAAATTCGATTGCATTGCGAGTTCTGATGCCACTATCGAAAGCTGACACGACAAAAACGTAAATTTGGGTATACAAGGGGCTGGGGTGGACTCAGATTTCGCACGAAATCCCTCTAAATTAAGTTATAAAAACTCCGCTTACAACATTTCTCGTTTCTATTTTTGAAGCTGAATACAATTCCACAACCCGATTCGATCGTTTTATACCTCTAGCAGAAATAAACTTAAAAGCATTTCAGTATTAGCTCGGTCCAAAAAAATTCACCTTGATTATTGAACGAGAAAAAAGAACGATAAATTTAGAGTTTTATGGCTGTTTACTTCAGCTTTCATGGTGTCAAAAAATTACAAAATTCGCTAATGATCTTGAGAGGAACATCTTCCTCGAAATGCCGCACTCATCTTTAAAAGGAAAAAAAGCGTGGCTCTAAGTGCCATGCTTTTTTCTTCCACAAAAATTTTCCACCGATACTCAGCGATATGTGGAAAATTCATGACAACAGAACAAACATTTCCGCGAGGTTTTCGCTGCCGCTGTGTCAAATTTGTGTTCACACGCACGCTCATTCACACAGTAACAGGTGGTTCAAAATAAATGTAAACTACAATATTTTCATAACTCGCACCGCGGCGATGCTCATTTTTTTTCTGCTCTGGTAATTTTTTTCCTCCTTATTTATTATTTATGCTAAGCGGGTTCGAAAAAAATAACCTGCGTCTTTATTTTGCTTAAAACTTTATCGTGGCAATTCTTTATTCCCAGTAGAACCATTCGCACACCGAAGGGCAAATTTTGCGGAGGGAACTTAGCATAACACTGTTTTCACTGAATTCGTTATCGTTTCGCCGCTAAGCAAACGCTTCTTTTAGCAATGCCTATTCCTTACATTTAGATTATCTAAATAAATAAATAAATGTAAACATTCCTGAAAATCGTTTTCATTAAAAAAATGTTTCCTACCCGTTGAATTTGAAAAGCAAAAATGCTTCGGAGAGGTACAAAGCTAAATTCGCTAACATTTCAATTTACTTGAGAGTTCTTTCGTTATAATGACACTTGGACGTGTCACCAAAGCAGCATTTCCTCAATTCATTACAATAGTGCTTTGTCCCTGCGAGAGCGACAAGGAAAAAGCAAACTTCATTCTTTTGGCGCGTGTACCACATAAACAAAGAAAAATCATGCAGAAAACAATTTATTAGCGACTCGATGTTAAATGATAGATGCTTATTTAGGGTTCCATGCAATTTTCTTATTGAACGTTGTATCACTTCTCTTTTAAGATTTCCGAATTCTAATTACACTGAATCTCCCTCTTCTGAAGCCGAGTTTGCCTCCTGAATAACAATCTGTGGGGTTGTTCCATTACCAAATCTGCTGGTAAAAAATGTCACTACAGATACATCTTCATCGCCTGAAGTCGATCTATGCGTGTAACTGTCCCGTCCTCGGATGACACAAATGCGAATGAAAATATCCTTGAAAGATTTTCTAAAATCGCTGTTAAAGCTCGAGTAAATAATTGGATTTACGGCCGAGTTCAGCAAAGGTAATACGTAAACGAAAACGATCGCCACAAATTGTCGTCCTTTCTCAGGAATCTTAAGCAAGCAGTCCCCGCAAAATTGTACTATAAACATTATAATGAAGAAGGGTAACCAACAAACGATGAAAGTTCCGATGACGATAGCGAGAGTCTTAGTGGCTTTCAGTTCGCGTACGATTGATTTTCGACGTTTACGCTCCGTCCGTCCAATATTTACGATGCTTTGGCGCGCGTCCTTTCGAATGTCCGCCTCAGATATCTCGCCAGGCTCCATCGCACTCGCTGATTTTAACAGCTGCAGTTTTTTGGCCTGTGTGAAGGCGACCTTGAAAACCATTGAGTAGTTGATAACGAGAATGGTTAAAGGCAGGAAAAAACCAGCAGTTATGGCGAACAAATAATAATAAGGATCCGATTTCTTGCACTCATTCGAAGAAATCGTTTCTGCGTCAGGGGACCAACCCGTGAAAGATAAAGCTGCTATGAGGCCAGAGTAACCCCAGACGAAGGTAATGGCGGCAAATCCTCTACTTTTCGTCATAATACTCCTGTAGCTCAGTGGGAAACTTAGCGCTAAGAATCGGTCGATCGAGATAAGGCTTAGGTTTGTTATGGACGCGCAGGAACACAGTAGGTCCACGAACACCCAAACTTCACAAAGAATCTGACCTAGATCCCAGCACATATAGTTCAGTGTGTGGTGAATGCGAAACGGCATGGAAAGAGCGGCGATGAGAACATCTGACACAGCCAAAGAGATGATGAAATAGTTTGTCACCGTGCGAAGCCGCCGATAATGTAAAATAGCACCGATCACTAAGCAATTTCCGCAAACATCAAGAATTAGAATGAAAATAACGAAACTCGCCTGGGATATCGTAGAGGCCAGTGTATATGGCGCACTGTTACTATCACAAGAAATCGAAGCTTTAGTTCCATCTGTACCATTCATGTTGACAACTGGGTATGGTTGTTGAGTAATGCGCTGCGCGCGCTTGTCTACGCGTATTTATCAGGCTTCTATCAATAACAGACGTTGGCGATAAAACGCGTGTACGAATCAATTGTTGTCGCCAAGTGACGGTGAGGGCACATTGGCAGCGCTCTTAAGACAAGTAAGGGCGGTGACATCTATGCTCCGATTTGTCTCTCTTCTGACGTGACTATTAATTAGTCCATTTTTTTATTTTTGTATTTAAATTTATTTGGGTTGTGGAACCTCCTCGATCAAAAAAAGAGGCTTTTATTAATGAATAAAGATCTTGCTAACACTGTCTTCAATTAGTGGGAGTAACGTGTTCCTCCTTTGCTTCAATTTCACATAACGAGCTTTCAATGGAGATTGCAGTATATTTCCTTCTCAATTTCGTACTTCTTTGTTAGTAATGATTTTGCTGTTTGAGATAAAGCTTGGCTAACCTCGCTGAGTTCTTGTTACCTATCGCAATTTCGAATTAGCGTTGACAATGAAATATATTTGTTTATACCTGCTTGAGTGAGGACCCATGAGGCGAAGGAAAAAATAATTTACGTTTGACAAAGATTTCTCCCCGCTGTCTTTCAAGACAGGAAGGGAAATGCAACTTACAAAAGTTGCAATTTTTGTTTATGGAAGAGTGAGAGTTAAAAATAAAAAATTGCAAGAGAAACAAAACGCATCAATGAATTTCTGACAAGTTCATGAACTAAAATTTTGCGACATTCATTACGGATTGTTTCAGTACTTCAATGCAAAAGTGCCTCATTTGATCTTCGACTAATTTACAAACAATCCGCTTTCAGACGCAGACATGTAAAATAATAAAGTTCTTTTACTGACGAGGGAAGTTGTTGAGTAATCCTAATATATGTACTGTTTGCTTTCGTAGAAATATTCCATTTCATTACGAAATATGTTAATCAAATATATCTCAGAGGAAGCGGTCAATATTTAGTTTCTTCGGCGGCTCGTTATTTGCTCGCCACCAAGGCCAACAAAGCCTGTCAATACTTGAAGGAAAGCAAGTGGAAATTTCGTATTATTTGTGTCTGTTTGTAAAGTGACATTATATCTTGTTTTAATCGATGTGGTTTTAGTTTGGGTTGTACCTGCATAAATCCAGTTTGCATATATTGACGAGCGAGTAAACTCATATTTCTGAATAAACTTCGTGAATTTCATCAAGATCTCATGATGATTTTTTTCTATTTTACGGAACGAAACCGATAATACCATATGTATTTAAGAGCAAATCTCAAGTTTGTATGAAGGGTCGTGAAACTTTTGGAAAGTTCTCGGCTTTACACCGGGTGATGTTAACACCACGGATTGTTGCCTTCGTGTAAGTTCAAGCAAGTACATGTGTCTGCTCCAATTCTGGCGCAAAATAGGACCAGAGTAAACAAGTCTGCGGATTGAAATTGAAAAGACGAAGGAATTATTCATTGTTGTTTAAACCAGACTGGGTGCTGTGTTTGGAACTTGGGGTAAATTTTTGTCCGCACCACGGCGACAATTAAAATGAGTTTTGTTTTAAAATTGTGGTTTAGAAATCGCCAGATAACAGCGAAAGTAAAACAAAATAGGAGCGGAAAATAAAGATACTAAGAATCAGATTCTTGATCACCAATAACATGGTGGGTATTTCGTGGAATAAATATTTACTGTCTCGCTTATAGCTGATATGTAGATCCAAAATGCGCTACAGTTATTTTAGAGAAGATGCCTCCAGCAATGCAACTGTGTTTCAGTCGGACGTAGAAACAACATACGTATCAATAATTTGGATTGTTTTTAACAATGTTCCTTTGGGTTTTAAGGCGCATAATTGCTCCTCGAAGTGGAAAAAAGCAGCTGTCTCGGTTTGAGTTGAGGCAAACGATAATCAAAAGAATACATTGATCGTGCCGGTGCCCAGCAGGAAAGCTACAACTGGCTGCGCTGCTAAAAACAATAACATTTCAAAAGGAGAAGATAAACCAGGTAAGTGTTTATGATACTACTTGGTGTGTAGCTTCAGACTTCCACCACTAGCAGGTTGTGTGGTTTTTTTTTTTGACAAGCAGGATGCAGCTCCATTCGGATATCATTACGGCGTCGACGATATTAAACATTGAAGACCAATTTGAGCTGCGGGTAACGCGGCAATCTTCAAGTAGGAATGAATGGAGACATAATTTTAAGCGCTTTTGCTGTTTAAATTCGAGAAAGCGATTTCACGTTTTTGAAATACGTATTTTCTTTTGGTCAAGGTGCATTTCAAGTAAAGATTTTTTTGTCTTCAAGAGATAAGATATTATATTATATTGATGCAGACTATGGAGTTATCGATTAAAATACCCTTTATTTCCGAAAGTATACCGCGTTTTAGAAAATAGACCCATACAGATATGAAGTATGCTTCAGAGTTCAATTTTACTCCTTATTTGGGTGCAAAATTTTGTTGCAAGCAGCTTTATCAGTATGCGTAATGGATCAGTAAAACGGATCAGGAAAAAAGTTCAGTAGCTGCCAGTTCGAGCCAAAAAACGAAGGAGAAAACATTTTAATTGAGATTTAAGATGAAACTTTTTAAAAAATAATGGTACAAGTTTGGGTACAGAGTAAGATTTCTTTTCGCAAATATGGTTAAACGGCGCGTTAATTATCATGTTCGCGAGCGAACATGATAATTAAGGTGGAAAAGACAGACAAAAAAAAAAAAGTAAAACCGCGATCTTAATATCTGCAACGAAGTCCAGCTGTGATAAAAATTGCCCTATTCTTTATGTTTTGGTTTAACATTTCAAAAATGTTTAAAAACCTCGAAGTTTTGACTATTCATGCTAGTTTTTTTCTTTTTTAAGTGCGGTAACACACATTTGCGCCTAAGTTAATTTACGCTGGTTCAGCTGCATGCTAGTACTTACCTCAAAATAAGTTTATTCAAGAGTACTATGTAAGCTAATGAACGCACTTATATCTCGAATAGAGCTGATAATGGCAGTGTTCTTCTAGAAAAAATTCAAATAGATTTAAGTGTTTATTCTTAAGCTGCATTCATCGGCCAATCAGTAAATAAATACAGAAGGAAAAAATCTTCAACGGCGCTAATGAGTCTGGCTAACATGTTTCATAACACATTTAAGTATCAAAGCTTTTAATACACGCTTACTGATTCGCTCGAGACATATATGGATAAAACAAAAACTTCCTGTGAATGGCATTATAATTTTTTTTTTACGGAATTCAACACAGGAAGTTTTTGGAAATTGAGGAAGACTCATTCAGAGGGCTATTAAAGATAAAAGATTACGCTTTAAAGTCGTTTGTTGCTTTTGAAATTAAACGGTTGTAATTCGGTTCAGTTTCACTTCCTTTTTTATTAAAATCAGCATCACTTTCCTCGATTATTAGAGCATTAATGTCCATTTTTCCTCGAACAGGAAAGAGCTTGATATATTATTTTAAATATTATTTCCCAACTCGTCTCGGTTTTCTGCTGTTTGAGAGAAGGGTACATGTTCATTCATCTTCAATTAACTTAAGCGAACTCCTTCAGAAAAGCTTTTTTTTTTCAATCAGCCCGACGTGAACTTTGAGAAATGTATATTAAACTACGTATTCAGATTATATCAATTGGACAGAGATCTCTGGTATCAATATCAACTCGAACGTTGTAATTAAAGTTCTGCAATCTAGTGCTCCGTTTCATGTGCATTTCCGAAGTGGCTCTTGAATTATGGTTTGATCAAAAGTCATTTAAGTCAACAAAGTCGTTTTAAAATAGCAGAACAGGTTCATCGGTAAGCATTAACTCAAATTTCCACAGACTGCCACCGTTGTACATCAACGCCGGTAGAAAGCCGGTTGCATATAAGTACATACAGGAACTTCAATGAACTTACACATACAGAATATGGGAGTTTAGCGTCCTATCGGTTTGACAAATTCAATTAAAGAATAAGTGTTTTATTATCCAGTTTCTCTCTGTATTTTGTACTCACGCTAACACAACCGTGAAAGTGAACTAATACATCTCATAACGTCACTAAAATTGCTTCTTTTAGACGTCACGAATTGAAATTAAATGATTAGGCATTTGTTTTTCTGAAAAAACGCCTAGAATTTAAGATTAAATATGTAAGGGAGAAATACTCATCATGTTAAACTTCATCCACTGCATTAAGTTATTTCTCTCTTTGTTGATGTACATATCAGTTTCTCATTCTCGTCCATCAACAGACCAGCCATATGAAAATTCTGAAGCTATCTTAAGAATAATCGCCATGAAGACAAAACAAAGCACGCCTCTGATGAAGCAATTATAATGAAAAAACACAGGAAGCTAAGCAATTATTTTTCTTAGTAATGTAGTAAATTTTTTTCTCGAAGTTTCCTCCGGAACCATTGCTTTGTATCGGCGAGAAAGTGAGACTGTTCACTTGATTATCGACTAAATTGAGCAGTTCTCCTTTAAGCAATCAAACTGCATATCATATTAATTCCTTTTATTGATTTTTTTCTCTTTCTGGAATCCTTATTTTCTCCTTTTAAGCCCACATATTTATATGAACAGCGTAGTTGTGGGGGCTAAAGATGATCGTTCCCAGACAAAACAAAGTATAAATTTAATTACAATGAAGAAAAAGCTGTTGTCGATGAATTAGCACGGAAGTTATATAAAGTTCTAGAAGTTTCTTAATGAACTGTTGTGATTCGCACTGCTCATATGATTGTCAGCTGCAGGTTGATAAGGCTCCATATAAACAAACGCAATAAACTTTGACAAAATGACAGCTTTAAGATTTTCAATATGATAAAGCATACAGTAGCAGATCAACCTGATTATACCTTTCAATAAAAGATTCCTTGTTGATAATCGGTAGGTAATTTGACATATAATGCAGAATATCTCATTGTTTTGAGAGTTTATTTAACACGGTAGGCGGTACGATATCTTAAACAATTTTTCACTGAATTTCTGACTTAATCACATATGGATATGAGAGCGATCTTCCCAGTGATTATCACTACTTAAGCAGTCGTAGAAATGAGGCCGGAAAAAATTTAGGCCTGTACGGGATTTGAACCCCACATGGACTCCGCGTTACGATACCGGTGCAGTGCTCTGTCAACAAGCCAACTAGGAGCTGATCACTATGTTTGTTCGTAATAAACCCGATGAATAAATGATTGTGAATATATGAAAATCATCTTTGTGAACTGCGGATAAAGAAATGAATACGAAAGCGATCTTCGCAGTAATGAATACTGCTTGTAAGCGGTAAAGAAAATAAGGCAGGGAAATTATTTTCACTACTGCTTACGTAGTGTTCATTACTGCGAAGACCGCTTTCATATTCAGTCCTTATCCGCAGTTCACACAGATGATTTTCATTTGTTCACAGCGGCATTTGATTATATATCTTGAAATCCATCGGGGAACCTTGGAATATATTCTTTTCCTACTCTCAAAGTCTGAACGCTGGAAATGCTAGAAGCTGGCTCATCAAAAAGAAAAAAATAAACCTTAACTATCGGCGAATGGCGGAAATTCTTAAGTGATATCTTAAGGGCAGCACCGACAAAAAATTTATATTGTATACGAAATAAACCTTTTTATACCACAATCTTCGTGTCCAGCGGAAATAGTTCTAAATGTGAAAAGCCTGGTAACTAGTTAGATTTCAACATGGCGGGCAGAAATGTCTCGTATTTGAAGCCTAAAACACCTTCTTTCATAGCGCAGTTCAAGGAGAAAGTGGGATATAAAGAACCAGATACAGTTGAAACAAAATTCGAAAAGCCTAATTCGTCCAAGTTAGATGACAGGGAACTGGAAGACGAGAATCCAGCCGTAGTTTTAGGATCCAATGTAACCCAGGCCGAAGCAAATGTTTACCTCTCGCGTTTAAAGGCGGAAGAAGAAGCCGAAAAGACAGGTATTAACAAGCATACGATCAGCTACTGAGATTTATGTTATGATACAATAAAAGGGTATATTTAGAAATTACTATTGGCATGATAAGGTAAACAAGGAAAACAGTATGCAAACGCTAATATCTGCGTTATCATTGGATCGGTTCTCCTCCTTGATAGCTGGAAGAAAAATTGGATTACCTTAAGAGATTATCTTTGTGATATTATTTAACCTATCAATTTCAATCATTTGTTTAAATATGATATGAAGGTTTTTTTCTGACCAATCAACTTCACAATGTTGTTCTACTCAATGATTTGACAGTACACTAATTACAGTGCAATATTTCTTTTTATTTTGTTGATGTACTTACCCAGTTAGATTTTAAAAACCACTTAGCTGTGAGGCCTACTTGTAGTTAACATCTATAGACACTTGTCTTTTTCCTTTATCAGAATTTTATGGCTAATGTAAATTTAAATCAAAAGAAGAAAAACCATGCGAATAATCCTTGAAAGAATATTTGATGCTGATGAAAACAATCACCTTGCTAAATGATAAACAGGACTTAAACAGAGAAAGATGTTTTTTTTGTCTTTTCACGAGTGTGGGACAAAGAAAAAAATTCTGAGTTCCCATGAGGAATCGAACCTCAGATTTTCATATTCTGTGCTCTGATGCTCTAACCACTGAGCCACAGAGACTCCACAGTGAGTGAGGTCTATATATTCTATTCTATTACCACATTCACTCCAGCTAAATGCATTTAGTTAAACCAGGTCTAACTGAAAGAAAATCAGAAACAGAAAAGTGAAAAACTGAATTTCCAATAGGTTTCAAGTACTCATTAACATATATTTTCAATGTGCTAAATTTGAAGTCAACAAACATTGGTTAAGCAGCTTCTATGAAGAAAACAATTTTAAACCATGTTTGAAAAAGCAGCTTTAGCACATGTTTAAGATTTTGGTGTGAATGGAGTTTAAGCAAAGAAATTTAATATATAAAACACTCATTATGGAAAACTGACCTGTCAACCCGGCATCCATTATTTAAATTCTCTTTAACATTTTCAACCTCTACAGGCATTACCCATGGGCATGGTAGATTTATGTTTTTTATGTTGTATTTGCCTTTATTAGCAGCTGTAATGCAACTATGTGGATGATTTGAGAATGCTGTTTGATTTCATTAGCAGCTGAATTTGGGTTTCACTTCCCAAGATCTAATTGTTGACTCTCCCCTCTAGTTGCTACACTTTTCCTTGTAATTAGTTACAAAAATTTGGTGTTAGATCAAGATAACTGTTACCTGATAAGTTTGAGTATTCTTATTACCTGTTTGCTGGATAATGTATACTTATTATAGGGAGAAGTTACTTGTTAATCACTTCTGAGAGTTAAAGGGTTATGTTACTGTTTCATTTCCTGCCACCCAACTGACTTTCAGAAGAAATTATAATAATGATTGAAATATAAATAAATGATGATAATGCCAACATGTTTCAAAAACGCCCTCTTGCTAGCAAAATTTTCCTATTGTTTTAGATGCAATGATGATGTAATCAAGAATTAATTTATTAGAAAAATTTTTCTTCATTTTTTTTACTCAACAGAACAACTTACTCTTTTGCAAAAGAATGGAAATGATATATTTTGTGAGAAAGGCCTTGTTATAAGTAAATTTTGAGTAGAAGTTGGCTGCTTATTACTTGATATAAAGTAATTCTTACAGGAGCAACTCATTCATATTTTTTATGTCAACAGAAAAGAAAATAAATATTGGTGAAGGAGACGATAACAGTAAAGATGACGGGAAAATCGTTTTTAAAAAGCCAGGAAAGAGGAAATCAAAGGACAGCGAGAGGCAGTCGAAATACAAAGCAGATAATGGAAAGAAAGCAAAACCTAACAGTACTATGAAAAGTGTGAAAAACAAGACGCTTCTATCGTTTGATGAGGAAGAGGATGAAGACTGAAAAGTTACTTAATAAGGGTTGTTGTGGTGGAAGACCATTATGAACATCTCGTTCTAGGATGAAACTTCCAAGAAGAAAAAAGCCGGCAAATTTGTTGGATACGTTTGGAGCTTTGGTGGTAGCGGGAGTAATTAGACAGAGTCTCAATACTCAGTGGTAGAGCATCGTAGAGTAGAATCTGAAGGTCTAAGGTTCGATACCTCATGGGGACTCATTTACATTATGGCTAATGTAAATGGAAATCAAAAGAAGAAAAACCATACGAATAATCCTTGAAAGAGTACTTGATGCAATGAAAACAATCACCATGCTAAATGAATTAGACAGAGTCTCAAGACTCAGTGGTAGAGCATCGAAGAGCAGAATCTGAAGGTCTAAGGTTCGATACCTCATGAGGACTCAGAATTTTTTGTTTACCCCACGCTCGTAACAAGACGCAAAACATTTTTCTCTATTTCCTTACCGCGCTTAAAACTCTTTCTTATTCTATTTACAACAGCTTTCCGTGTTACGAAAACGCTGTCAGAGAGGTTAAACCTTCGGCGAATAATAGTTAATTAGTATAATTGCTCAGGTGCTTTCGAAATTTCCTGTAAATAAAAAGAGCAGAGACTGCGCATCTCTTGTTACAATTTTTTTTAGTACTCGTATCAAGATAAGAGCGCAGGTTTATTAGGTCTACTGAATACAATCAGCCAAAACTTCAAGTGTCCCGCCAAACCTACTGTTTTGATTGTTTTCCTCGTTCTCTTTTTTTTCTGTATTATTGTAATTTATGTCAAGTGTGTCTTCTACGTCAAGTAAGAGCCCCAATAAGGCAAATCGATCGTCAAATACCATTTTGAACCTAAAGCCTTAGGTTCGAAAGCCTGATCAAGACACAAACAATATGACAATTTTGACTATATTATCATTTTCGTTCGTACAAGTGGTGACGACCTTAGCGCTATATCCTAGGGTGTACAGTTTCACTTTGCGTAATATATGTTTTCTTCATAACATTGTCGGTACACTCTTCTCTCAAAAGTCGCTGATTATTTTATTTCGTTTAGAGAAATGAGCAGCAGTACTTTGTTGGAAATTTTTGGACATGTACTTTTTAGTTTCACGAAAAGTGTGACCGATCATTATAACCTAGAGGAACCGGAGTTCAACAACGAGTTATTTGGGTATAATCCTCTCGAAAGCACAGTTCGAGAATGGTATTATCACCCTGTGGATGAGCTTATTTACCAGGAATACGGTGGAAAATATTTAATCACGAGCACGAGCTATCTAGCTGCGAGCAGTCTTGATGTAAAGGTAATTGATGCATATTCTACAGAGGTGAACGAAACAGAAGCGAACGAGATAAAAGTCGACAACAACAGTGGCACAGCTTGGAAGCGTTTGAGACCTTCCATTCGCCGCACAATTTTACAATCGCTGTCTATCGGATCCTTGATTTCATTGCTGGCTGCTATCATCTCAGGTGCGGAGTACATTTTGATCTCTTATCTTTGTTATGAAACTATCAATGTTTGTGAATTCGAACTGCAAAGGACATCAATTCCCCTTCGAGTTCAGTGGATGCGAACAATTGTGATTGCGATGGCTTATTTCTTTCTCTATAATTGGTTCTTTTCAAATGTGCTGCTATTTTTTCGCTTTTATCAACTACATGGACTGAAGAGAAAATTGTTTCTAGCTTTCTCCATTCCCTTCTGTATCGATGCTACCTATCGTATCACACTACAGGCTTTGGGAATGTCGTTTTCGAAACTTTCCTTGGTTCAAAATATTCCCACAAACATTAATTTTCTCACAAGCTTCGGTGTCCAAGTTTATCTCCTTACGAAACATTTTTGCACCCAGTCAGTGAAAAGGCAGATCTCTTTGTTCTGCCAAATGTCAGTACCTCTTTGCCTCACGTTTATTATCGGTATGATCTTCAAGTATCTGATTTATCCAGCATACATCAAAGAGGATACAAATGGTAAGCTACTCATTGCTGTATTCGCACCGCTGACTGGGGTGTTATTGAAACCAATAGCACGCATCTGCGCCCACAGGCTATGGAACATTACCCATCCGGGTTACTCTTACGTGCTATTAGCGCCTTTGTATTACGATTCAGCGGTTGTCTTTCGAATTTTACAAGCGGATTTGGACAATTTATGGTCAATCGCGCTTCTTGGGATAATTCACGGAGCTGCAGAAGTTATAGAACGTAGTGCCATGGTTTTAATTGACCACATTTTTCATGTGCTATGCAAAAGAACCTCTGCTCCATTGGGAAGTTTTCGTACTCCCCGACGCGAAAGACTCATAGCTGACATCGCCATCATGAGCATGCTGTCTGAGTCAGCGGCTATAGTTTCTGTGAACGGCGTCATATACCTGTATCAATGGGTCTACATCGAGGACAGCTCGTGGTCAAAACTGTTGCAGTCTTCCATTTTCACTTCCGTTCCTCTATTTATTGAATGGTTTTTTAACAGCATGTCTCTGGCGATCGAGACTCGCTATCAGAATATGGCTGTTATGGCTGTTTGGCGAAAGAGATGGAAGAGGCATTTTCTCGTGGCGATTGTCAACACGGTGCCGATTGCATTAACTCTCAGCACCAATCAGATAGCAGTGGTTCACGAGAGATTTGATCGAATTAGAGTCAAGCCTTGTAGAGTGCCATTTACACGAAACTTTACATCAACATCGTCGTAAATTTGCGCAGTTTCGAGAGGTGTAAGCATAATAGAGCCTTTTTTTGATGAGATTTTAAATGCAAGGTTTAAATAAACGGCTTGGTCACCTTAGAAATTGAAAAGTGTTATATTGTGTGCTATTATAGTTTCACACTGGTTTTCGCGATCGCCTTTATCTTCCCAGACCTAATCGTATGAGCGAACACTAATTATAAAAAATCCTCAAGAAAATTGATGTTCAGTACTTTGCATTTCAGCGAACGAGTATCTTTTCAATGAAACGTTTATTTATCGACCCAGAACTGCTTTTCATAAAAGGCATCAACCTGAGTTGTGCAAAATATTTTCAGATAAGGAAGAAGTGAAATACACGAAAAGTAAGTCGTATCACAAAATTGATACACAAATTCAAGTAAACAATAAGGAAAGGATTTTCTCATCAGCTAAAAAGCAACCGATTAATTTACTTTCAACCTCAGTGGAATCTTTCACTATTTTTCATGTAACGAGCTGAATTAAGCATGCATTTTGATTGGTTGTTACTCATGATCTATTGGTGGACAGACGCACAGATAACGTAACCATTGACCATTTTTTGCCCCTATAATTTAAAACAAATGGATTCCATTTTGGTGGGTGTCTGTTAAGCAATAGATCACATCCGAGTGTGTCACGGATGTTCTTACCACACCTGGCATCCTCTGTGATCTGTTACTGAACAGATGTACGGCAACATGCATGGAGTCTATTTGTTGAAAAGAAATGTTATTTGTGATCATAATACTCAGGAATCGAAAACAAAAGAACAGAGCCATGAAGATATAAAAAAACCGGGTAGAACCTGAAAATAATTTCTGACCGGTTTCACAGAAAATATGGCATCAGAAAACACGTCTTCACGATCGCATGACATGGTCCGTGAGATTATTTTGCTATTCTTTAGGGTTTTTTACTTTCAATCAGTCAATCCTGTGAACCAAAAAGCTATTTGTTTTGTCATGAGTGTTGGATGAACACGAGGAGTTGAACTTCAGACATACGGAATTTATGCCCCGATGTATCCTTTCTCGTTGAAATTTTTTCAATCAAAATGAAACTCAACTTTTCCACATATCTTAAAAAACCAAAATACTCAGTCCATCAGAGGAAGTCCAGCCACCTTAACCTTGTATTTGGTAAACAACGTAGATATGTCACGTTTCACAGAGAAATAAATATCGTGTCATTCACGTTTAATGCAAAAGCGCGATGGAAGGCCACATTTATTTTCCTGCATGGGAGATAAACAAATTAGCTCTCCATGACAACTCACCATGACCATAACTTTCCCTAAGGTCATTTTCTTATTTCGTGCGTTATGCGTTTGCGTTGGGATCAAAATATCGCCATATTCTATTACTTTTTCACAACGAAATGTTTGTTTGGCTTTCAGTTCAATAGTAAACACTATGTACCATCACCTGACTTTATCCCTTGTAAAATTTTAATGTAGGGATTCCCTTTTTAACTTACATCACCAATCTCTTTGAATTTTGTTATCAGTAAAACGAGGACAACACAAGCCCCTCTTTGCAGGAATAACTTTAAAAAATTCTAATAAAAGGCCGTGTCAAATGTGGTGTTACATTCGGTTTGCAGGTCATATTACAACGCAACGTTTTATAAAATATAATGAATTCAAATTTAACAAGGTCCAAGTACAAAGCTCTCTACTTCATTGCTCCTGTCAGTCAGTGTCTTTTGACCTTGATTTTATCAGTACAAACCTAAGGAACAGGTGACCCCGCTCAAAATTTAGGTTTCATTCAGGTGGCCTCGCTTTAATATATGGTATGGTTTACTTAGGTTATTATGATAGTAACATTCACTCTTGCTCAGCATGTTATATATATCAGTAGTACGAATGCACGTCAAAGACCTTCTCGGAGAAAACTTGTTGTTCTAGAATTTCTTCCTAAAACCCCCTACAGTCTCTCTATATTGTGGTTTTTTCGCGCGACACTTCTAAGAGAAAATTGTCCAGCAAAACTTGGCAGTGGAAACTCCAGTGACTCTAGGACGTTAAAAAAAGATGAAGTAATTTTGATGATAAAAAACAAACGTTGCACTCCTATTCCTCCACTTTTTTCGATGACAACCTGTGCATGTTATTGCATTTCCATATGTCATACTATGAAAGATCGACAATTCTTATTTTCGTTTTATTCTAAATTTCAATTACGTCAACTTTGTTTTAAAACAACATGCTATCTGAGGTTGAATTAAAGTTTCATCGTGTTTCATCGCCTTTAAAGTTTTTTCCAATCGAACTTTCAGCACATTTTGATAAAAAATGAAACAAAGCAAACTCTATTCGTGTAACTTTTTGTTTGAAACCAATTACGAGGCGCGTGACATTACCTACTTTTAGAATATCATCTTAAACAATAGAGTTGTGATTGCATATTTTAAAAGATCCTTAAGAAACCACGGGTTACACAGAAATGCTGCAGTTTCACCGGATCCAGCAAGGTTAGAAGATATGTCTTAACGTGTATTTTTTCAGTCTTGTTAAAGCAACAAAGAGTTTAACTACCAAACTCCAATTATTTGCGAAACGGCGATCAATTTCCGAACTGCAGTTCTCGTAAAGGACTGAAATTTGCCTCGAAACAGATCGTTCGTCGCGAATCTGACTTCACACAGAAAATCTAATATAGGGGATAATTTTTTAAGGAGAGAATCTTACTATGACAGGTTTCAGCATTTCTTCAACCTTGTCCACTGAAAACTTCTCGACGACTATCAGTGGAACAGTAGAGTCAAAGGGTGTGGAAGTAGTTAAGAGCACGCTTTATGCGACTTGTGGTGTCTTTGGTGTTGTCGGTAACATCCTAACGACAATTATCTTGACGAAGATCAAGGCGAAGGAAACGAGAGTAATGGATTTCTACATGATTAACTTAGCCATAGCGGATTTAGGAACTTTGCTCTTGGCATTTCCAATTACCGCGATACGAGAGAGACTTCCGAATGATTGGCCATTTGGAGAGTTTGTCTGCTTGTACTTCCTTCCACTTACCGACATATTTCACGGCTCGTCTGTTTGGTTCATTACAGCAGCTGCCATAGAAAGATATCAGAAAATTGCCAGGCCTTCCAAAGTAAACGTCAAACTGCCAATAGCATTGAAAAGAGCACAGATCGTTGCAGTGAGCACATGGGTGGCGTCATTCGTCGTCTTTTCATTACCGCTATATTTTGTTCTTCGCTACAGAGAGGTTTCTACCGATGGAAGATTTTGGTGTGGTTCAGAGTGGCCTTCATTAGGCGCAGGCCTCGCTCTATCCAAACTTTACTTTACTTTCATCATCTTTGTATCTTATGTAATGCCACTATTTGTAATATCGGGAACATTCCTCGCAGTGTCGCACAAACTAAATAAAAGCAGCAAGTTTATCCACGCTATCAATTCGCAACATGAGAAAGACAGTGAATTACTAAACTTACACAGTAGAAAGTTTAGCCCAACAAGAAGGCATGCCAATCGGCTCGCTCAAAACAGACGCGCTAAATTGATTTTAACACCAGTTGTTGGAGTGTTTGCTGTATTCATGCTTCCGCTGACAATTCTTCGCCTATGCGTTGTATTTTGGCCCCCTATTTTCACACAAACATTTTACAGCGACTTGCTGTTTGTGGTTTCAGTTGGTGTTATAATCAACTCGTCTGTAAACCCGGCTATATACTCGGTGGTTAGGAAAGACTTCCGCCGCCAAATGGTCCGATTACTTTGCTGGAAGAGAAGATCATCGCGGGGCCAGAAGCGTAATCGAGCTCTTGTTTCTGTCAAATTGGATCTCAATCGGCTTTCTCGTTCTTGAATCAGAGATAAAACAAATTCGCGTTTAACTCGAAGAGGTACATTCAGCTGCTTTAAGAATTAATTTGTTTATTTTAGCACGTTTTCGATTGACGTTGTTTATCGAGTGTATTTTATAAAATAGCCAACGTTATATAGTATAGTTGTTTTAAAAGCATTCGTCATATGTTACAAACAAGAATTCAGTATAAATCTTTCACATTTATAAACTACTAGGATTTGATCTGAAATAAAGGTGTTTATCCGAATGACAAAGTTGTGCATTCAGCATATAGTTTCACGACAAATTACCTTACAAAGCCGGGGGAGATTGACATTGTCAGCCCAGACGTGCTTTACCAAGTTGAACCGGTATTGAGTACTTTTGAAAACGTATACAGAGAAGTCGAATCTAAATATAGAAGGGTTAAAAAGCAGCAAGAAACATTTACCGACACACTTATTGAATCGGCGTCAGGAGAATTGCTAGCAAAGAATCAAGTAATCGGTGACGAAGCCAAAGCTAATTTTTTAAAATGCGCAGAACAGTTCGCCATTTATCAGAAATCATTCGCAACTGAAAAGCCGCTGTTTAAACACGAAGCACTTGAAGCAATGACGTCAGCAGTAATAACAAAAATGACCGATGTTTTGAGTTCGCAAAAGTACGCAAGCCACGGGCTAGAGAAATTGTCAGTTTCTACGTGGTATGGTGTTAGAAAGTCTTGCGCAACTTGGAGGCACGAGTTTCAGTATTGGATGAATAAGTATAAACAAGACAAAGATGAACAATCGTAAAGGCTTCGGAAAGCATTACCCACCCAGGCAAAAACTCGTGTTGGTCGGATCAAGTAAGGCCGTGCAAAACGATTGAACAGGCGTAAAAAATTCCCGACACCGAATTTGGAGATCAAACGAAATTAATTGATACGCTCTTAACCGAAATTACAAATCTTAAGCCAGTAAAGTGCGACCCGAAATCGCTTTCTCGCTACGCGGCTAGAATTCTTTGTTCGTAAGCAACATGGATCAAAACAGCTGCGCAGTGACAAGTGCCTTAGAAGCACCCTTTGTGATGTCTCAGCTTTTATCAAAGCTAGATCCAAAAGATAACATTGACTTTGGCCGAGAAATGCAACGCGTGAAAAATGAAGAGAACGTTCTGAACCTAATAGATTGGTTAAACAAGGAAGCAAGCTTGCGATCTCGCGTCAAAAGGGATACCTGCAACGACACAGAAGATCGCCGATTTCAAAATCAGCGAAGTCAGTCGGATAATCACTCCACGAACAGTGAAATGCCCGATGATGAAATTTGTCTAGTAGGTTGCGAAGCAAAGCATTTACTTTCTGCATGTCCAGTGTTCCAAAAATCAACAGTAGACCAGAGAAAAAAACCAGCCATTTCGTTCCAATTCTACCGCATTCATTTTAGCGACTCGTTCAGTATACGCAAGAATTAGATGTGAACAAACCACTGCATTCGAACTATTGAAATTGTTACAATAAATCTTTGCTTCTTCTGATGCGAATCAACATTGGTACGAAACGTCATAACAATAGTAGAGACTACTGCGTCCAATCACAAAAATAACTCAGTCTGATTTTCTAAAACAATAACATTAAACAGTTTTTGAACAAGAACAAAGAGACTACTCGAATTACAAGTCGTTCGTAAAGCCTATGATAAGTAAAAATGTTTCTATTCTGAACTATTGGAACTCTCAGCTTATTTTCAGATGCAAATAAACATTAATGTCAACGTCTTAACAAAAGTGGAGACTATTACATTGAACTCAATCTTATTTTCTAATTTTAACGGTTATTAACTGTTGAGGGATCCGAAATAACACCTTAACAATTACGAAGACGTCTAGAGTCTGGCAATCTGCAGATAATGCAGAGCCACTCGCCCTCCGGGGCAGTCTTAAATCCCTAGCAGCTCATGTGTAACCTTTCCTCGCACAACTCTCACTTCACCATGTAGTCCCAACACTCGGGCATTGCACAATGACGAAATAAATTAGTGTCACAAGTTTGCCTCTTATTGAATCTAGCGGTGTTCGACTATCGCGGAAAAGGTTCAAAAACGACTTCTCTCCAGACATCAAATTAAATTCTTGCCCATTTTCCCTTGGTCAAAAGAAACATCCGACGGAATGCCAGTTCGTATTAACGATACGCATATTTTGAATTAAAAACATACTTTAGTACGCACTGGAACGTAAAGTATCATCCATTTTTACTATAACGTTAAGGATGATGTTTTCACTCAGTTTTGTTGGGGGGTCCAAATCCGCGGAGGGGGGTCCAAATCCGCCAGCGGATTTGGTCACATGTGATCTATGACTGAAAAAAAAAAACAGCAACATGAAATATATTTGTTAAGTAAACTATCTTTTTTGGCCTTCAGCTCAATAATAAACACTATGAACCACCACCTGACTTGATCCATTGTAAAGATATAATGTCGGGATTCTCTTTTTAACTTACATTACCAAACTCTTAAAATTTTGTTATCAGTAAAACGAGGACAAAAAGTTCTTATGAAAAGCCTTTTTAAAAGTGAAGTGTTTTGTTACATTCAGATTGCAAGTCATACTGCAACGCAACGTTTTATCAAATATAATGAATTCATATTAAACAATGTCCAAGTACAAAGCTTTCTACTTCATTGTTCCTGTCGGTCAGTGTTTTTTGACCTTGATTTTATCAGTACAAACCTGAGGAACAGGTGGCTTCGCTAAAACTTTAGGTTTCATTCAGGTGGTCTCGCTTTAATATATGGTATAGATGGTATAGTTTACTGAGGTTTATATAATAGTAACATTCACTCTTGTTCAGCAAGTTATATATATTAATAGTATGAATACATGTCAAAGACCTTTTCGTAGAAAACTTACTGTTCTAGATTCTCTTCCTAAAAGCCCTACAGCCTCTCTATATTATGTTTTTTTTGCGCGACACTTCAAAGTAAAAATTGTTTAGCAAAACTTGGCAGTGAAAACTCCAGTGACTCTAAGTTGTTAAAAAACAGATAAAATAATTTTGATGATAAAAAAAAAAGAACGTTGTATTCCTATTCCTCCACTTTTTTCGATGACAAGCTGTGTATGTTATTGCATTTCCATATGTCATACTATGAACGATCGACAATTGTTGGTTTCGTTTTATTCTAAATTTCAATTCAGTCAACTTTGTTTAAAAACAACATGCCATCTGAGGTTGAATTAAAGTTTCCTCGTGTTTCATCGCCTTTAAAGTTTTTTCCAATCGAACACATTTTTGTAACAATTAAAACAAAGCAAACTTTATTGCTGTAACTTTTTGTTTAAAACCAATTACAACGCGTGTGACATTATCCACTACTATTTGAATATCATCATAAACAATGGAGTTTTGTGTGCATATTTCAAAAGATCCTTAAGAAACCACGGGTTACACAGAAATGCTGCAGTTTCACCGGATCCAACAAGGCTGCAAGATATGTTCCAATGTGGGTATTTGTTCAACCTTGTTAAAGCTTCAAAGAGTTTAACTACCAAACTCCAATTATTCGCGAAACGGCGATCGATTTCCGAACTGCAGTTCTCGTAAAGGACCGAAATTTGCCTCGAAACAGATCGTTCGTCGCTAGCCTGACTTCAAACAGAAAACCTAATTGATAGGCGATAATTTATTAAGAAGAGAATCTTACTATGAAAGGTTTCAGCAACTTTTCAACTTTGTCCACTGAAAACTTCTCGACGACTATCAATGGAAGCACAAGCAGTGGCGAGGCAATAGAGTCGCAGGGTATGGAAATAGTTAAGAGCACGCTTTATGCGACTTGTGGTGTCTTTGGTGTTGTCGGTAACATCCTAACGACAATTATCTTGACGAAGATCAAGGCGAAGGAAACGAGAGTAATGGATTTCTACATGATTAACTTAGCCATAGCGGATTTAGGAACTTTGCTCTTGGCATTTCCAATTACCGCGATACGAGAGAGACTTCCGAATGATTGGCCATTTGGAGAGTTTGTCTGCTTGTACTTCCTTCCACTTACCGACATATTTCACGGCTCGTCCGTTTGGTTCATTACAGCAGCTGCCATAGAAAGATATCAGAAAATTGCCAGGCCTTCCAAAGTAAACGTCAAACTGCCAATAGCATTGAAAAGAGCACAGATCGTTGCAGTGAGCACATGGGTGGCGTCATTCGTCGTCTTTTCATTACCGCTCTATTTTCTTATACGCTACAGAGAGGTTTCTACTAGTGGAAGATTTTGGTGTGGTTCAGAGTGGCCTTCATTAGGCACAGGCCTTGCTCTATCCAAACTTTACTTTACTTTCATCATCTTTGTATCTTATGTAATGCCACTCCTTGCAATATCGGGAACATTCCTCGCAGTGTCGCACAAACTAAATAAAAGCAGCAAGTTTATCCACGCTATCAATTCGCAACATGAGAAAGACAATGAATTAGGAAACTTACACGGTAGAAAATTTAGCCCAACAAGAAGGCATGCTATTCGGCTCGCTCAAAACAGACGCGCTAAAATGATTTTAACACCAGTTGTTGGAGTGTTTGCTGTATTCATGCTTCCGCTGAATATTCTTCGCCTATGCGTTGTATTTTGGCCCCCTTTTTTCAAACAAACATTTTACAGCGACTTGCTGTTTGTGGTTTCAGTTGGTGTTATAATCAACTCGTCTGTAAACCCGGCTATATACTCGGTGGTTAGGAAAGACTTCCGCCGCCAAATGGTCCGATTACTTTGCTGGAAGAGAAGATCATCGCGGGGCCAGAAGCGTAATCGAGCTCTTGTTTCTGTCAAATTGGATCTCAATCGGCTTTCTCGTTCTTGAATCAGAGATAAAACAAATTCGCGTTTAACTCGAAGAGGTACATTCAGCTGCTTTAAGAATTAATTTGTTTATTTTTTATTTTAGCACGTTTTCGATTGACGTTGTTTATGGAGTGTATTTTATAAAATAGCCAACGTTATATAGTATAGTTGTTTTAAAAGCATTCGTCATATGTTACAAACAAGAATTCAGCGTAACTCTTTCATATTTATAAACTACTAGGATTTGATCTGAAATAAAGGTGTTTATCCGAATGACAAAGTTGTGCATTCAGCATATAGTTTCGCGACAAATTACCTTACAAAGCCGGAGGAGATTGACATTGTTAGCTCAGCACGAAATCGTAACTTTCTCTGCCCGACAGTGTAACCTTGGGTAGGGGCCGGGATAACTAGAAGCCTTCAAGCCATTTACATGTAGTTTTAATACATCAATAATTGTATGGCACCAACTAAGGAAAACTCTTTAAATCGACTGCATTTCACAAATTTTAAACTTCAAACAATTCTATTTTCTCGCATACACCCATCATTAACTCATCCATATTTTCAACTGGATAAATTTTGATGTCACCCTTCGGGTATTTCCTCTCTAACGTCTTGCACCAAAGAAGGGAAAATGGCAAAAGTCAGAAATGGAGTAAATATTTATTTACTGTTAACAAGATGCGTGACTTGATGCAGGTGTTTTCTCGGCTAGATTTTTGTTTCTTTTTCTTTTTCCTTAAAAAAGGATTTCTTTCTTTTTACGGAGCACTAGTCAGGTGTCTTCGCTGCAATGCTAACACACACAGCTCGATGTTAGGTCAGAGATCTCCCATTGGGTTTATACGTCGCCGTGTAAAATATTGATCGTTGAAAGCTTCGGGGAAAATTATGTAATCATTGATCATTAGAGTAAACTAAACATGGTGAGATCAAAATTGATGCCAGTCGTCGGTCTTCCGTCTTGTGATGAATGGCTACGAAAAACAACATATTTACAAATACAGTTGTATTACAACAGGACTTTTGACTTGTAAGAGTCTTAAATAGGGGAGAATAAGGGAAAAGGCATCGATTACAGATGAAGTTTTTCAATACTAACCTCTTCTGAGTAGATGAAAATGTATTAATAAATGATTTTGCCACATGCGTCATTTAAAGGGGAGAATTGTATTTTTCCTTTCGAAGTAAGAACTACATCATGGACTACTTTCATATTCTGAATACTGTTCGGTCTTTCATTTCAATCTTATTTCAAATCTCATTTATTTCTGCCTATGTTCGCGGGTTTGTGTTCTCTGTTCCCACGTAGATTTGATTTATGTCAATGTTTTGTTCCTTTTATAAGGCAATACACTATAAAGTTGAAACCAAAGGATTTTAATCTCTGGGTTAAAACGGACTCAAAGTGAGGAGGAGAAGGGAGATGGGATGATATACTCTAGAGGGGACTGGATCACATACATCATTCGGGTGCACTGAAAACCAAAAAGAAACAACAAAAATACAAAAGATTACCGAGCACCAAAGGACTGGTGTTAGCTGCCTAAGAACTGGGGAGATGCAAGCTCCGGAATATTTTGTTTGTTCTGCCTATGCGCTCAGAAATTAGTTTGGTCACGTATAATAAGGACTAGTTTCGTAAAACAAAAAATGGGAAAATGTTAATTAATTAGGAGGTGCTATTTTATCATATCTTTGAGTTACGTTGACGTTTCGATAAAAAGCGGGATGTGATTGGTTAGAACAGCAGTTCCAAACAATGGAAAGCTACAGAATGAATGAATTTTTGCTGCACCTCGTGTGCCACGTTTTTTTTTACCACATTTTAACGTCACATGTTATCCATGACTAACAAAACACAGCAACATGAAATATATATATGAAGTAAACCATTTTTTTTTTGCCTTCAGTTCAATAGTAAACACTATGAACCACCACAGGACTTTATCCCCTGTAAAGATTTAATGCTGGGATTCTCTTTTTTAACTTACATCACCAAACTTTTTGAATTTTTCTATCAGTAAAACGAGGACAACACAAGCCTCTCTTTGCAGAAGTAAATTTAAAAAATTCTAATTAAAAAGTCGTGTTAAATGTGGTGTCATTGTTACATTCAATTTGCAAGTCATACTGCAAAGCAACGTTTTATCAAATATAATGAATTCATATCAAACAAGGTCCAAGTACAAAGCTTTCTACTTCATTGTTCCTGTCGGTCAGTGTTTTTTGACCTTGATTTTATCAGTACAAACCTGAGGAACAGGTGGCTTCGCTCAAAATTTAGGTTTCATTCAGGTGGCCTCGCTTTAATATATGGTGTAGTTTACTCAGGTTTATATAATAGTAACATTGACTCTTGTTCAGCAGGTTATATATATCAATAGCACGAATACATGCCAAAGACCTCAGAGAAAACTTGATGTTTTAGAATTTCCTCCTAAAATCCCTACAGTCTCTCCATATCGTGGTCTTTTCGCGCGACACTTCTAAGGAAAAATTGTTTAGCAAAACTTGGCAGTGAAAACTCCAGTGGCTCTAAGTCGTTAAAATGCAGATAAAGTAATTATGATGATAAAAAACAAACGTTGCACTCCTATTCCTCTACTTTTTTCGATGACAAACTGTGTATGTTATTGCATTTCCATATGTCATACTATGAAAGATCGACAATTCTTATTTTCGTTTTATTCTAAATTTCAATTCAGTCAACTTTGTTTAAAAACAACATGCCATCTGAGGTTGAATTAAAGTTTCCTCGTGTTTCATCGCTTTAAAGTTTTTTCTAATTGAACTTTTAGCACATTTTTGTAACAATTAAAACAAAGAAACTTTATTGTTGTAACTTTTTGTTTAAAACCAATTACAACGCGTGTGACATTACCCACTGCTGTTTGAATATCATCGTAAACAATAGAGTTGTCCTTGCATATTTTAAAAGATCCTTAAGAAACCACGGGTTACACAGAAATGCTGCAGTTTCACCGGATCCAACAAGGCTGCAAGATATGTCCTCACGTGTATTTGTTCAATCCTGTTAAAGCTTCAAAGAGTTTAACTACCAAACTCTAACTATTTGCGAAACGGCGATCGATTTCCGAACTGCAGTTCTCATAAAGGACCGAAATTTGCCTCGAAACAGATCGTTCGTCGCGAGCCTGACTTCACACAGGAAACCTGATTTAGGCGATAATTTACCAAGAGCAACTTACATACTATGACAAGTTTCAGCAACTTTTCAACTTTGTCCACTGAAAACTTCTCGACGACTAACATTGAAAGCACAAGCAGTGGCGAGGCAATAGAGTCGCAGGGTATGGAAATAGTTAAAAGCACGCTTTATGCGACTTGTGGTGTCTTTGGTGTTGTCGGTAACATCCTAACGACAATTATTTTGACGAAGATCAAGGCGAAGGAAACGAGAGTAATGGATTTCTACATGATTAACTTAGCCATAGCGGATTTAGGAACTTTGCTCTTAGCATTTCCAATTACCGCGATACGAGAGAGACTTCCGAATGATTGGCCATTTGGAGAGTTTGTCTGCTTGTATTTCCTTCCACTTACCGACATATTTCACGGCTCGTCCGTTTGGTTCATTACAGCAGCTGCCATAGAAAGATATCAGAAAATTGCCAGGCCTTCCAAAGTAAACGTCAAACTGCCAATAGCATTGAAAAGAGCACAGATCGTTGCAGTGAGCACATGGGTGGCGTCATTCGTCGTCTTTTCATTACCGCTATATTTTGTTCTTCGCTACAGAGAGGTTTCTACCAATGGAAGATTTTGGTGTGGTTCAGAGTGGCCTTCATTAGGCGCAGGCCTCGCTCTATCCAAACTTTACTTTACTTTCATCATCTTTGTATCTTATGTAATGCCACTATTTGTAATATCGGGAACATTCCTCGCAGTGTCGCACAAACTAAATAAAAGCAGCAAGTTTATCCAAGCTATCAATTCGCAACATGAGAAAGACAGTGAATTACTAAACTTACACAGTAGAAAGTTTAGCCCAACAAGAAGGCATGCCAATCGGCTCGCTCAAAACAGACGCGCTAAATTGATTTTAACACCAGTTGTTGGAGTGTTTGCTGTATTCATGCTTCCGCTGACAATTCTTCGCCTATGCGTTGTATTTTGGCCCCCTATTTTCACACAAACATTTTACAGCGACTTGCTGTTTGTGGTTTCAGTTGGTGTTATAATCAACTCGTCTGTAAACCCGGCTATATACTCGGTGGTTAGGAAAGACTTCCGCCGCCAAATGGTCCGATTACTTTGCTGGAAGAGAAGATCATCGCGGGGCCAGAAGCATAATCGAGCTCTTGTTTCTGTCAAATTGGATCTCAATCGGATTTCTCGTTCTTGAATCAGAGATAAAATGGAATCGCGTTTAACTCGAAGAGTTACATTCAGCTGCTTTAAGGATTAATTTGTTTATTCTTTTCTTAAGCACGTTTTCGATTGACGTTGTTTATGGAGTGTATTTTATAAAATAGCCAACGTTATAGGGTACAGTTTTTATTAAAGCATTCATCATATGTCACAAACGAGAATTCAGCATAACTCTGTTATATTTATAAACTACTAGGATTTGATCTGAAATAAAGGTGTTTATCCGAATGAAAAAGTTGTGCATTCAGCATATAGTTTCGTGACAAATGACTTCACAAAGCCGGAGAAGATTGACATTGTTAGCTCAGCACGGAATCGTAACTCTCTCCCTCCGACAGTTTAACCCCGAGGGCATGGCTAAAAGCCCTCAAGCCATTTTCATGTAGCTTTAATAAATCAACGATTGTATAGCGCCACCTGAGCAAAACTCTTTAGTAAGACCTAACTTCACAAATTGGAAAAATGACAAAAGTCAGAAATGGAGTAAATATATCTATTTACTGTTAACAAGATGCGTGACTTGATTCAGGTGTCTTTTAGGCTAGATTTTTTTCTTTTTCTTTAAAAGGATTCATAATTGGAAACTTCGTTTTTTCGTTCGTTTTACGGAGCATTAGTCAGGTGTCTCCACCGCGCTGCTAACACACAAAGCTCGATGTTAGGTCAGAGATCTCCCATTGGGTTAATACGCCACCGTGTAAAAGATTAATTGTTGAAAGCTTCGGGGAAAAAATGCAAATTTTGATCATTAGAGTAAACTAAACATAGTGAGGTCAAAATTGGTGCCTGTCGTCGGTCTTCCGTCTTGCGATGAATGGCTATGAAAAACAACACATTTACAAATGCAATTGTATTACAACAGGATTTTGACTTGAAAGAGTCTTAAATAGGGGAGAATAAAGGAAAAGACATCGATTACAGATGAAGTTTTCCAACACTAACAATTCTGAGTATATAGAATGAATGATTTTGCCACATGCGTCATTTGAAAGTGAAGAAGTGTACTTTTCCTTTCGAAGTAAGAACTACATCATGGACCACTTTAATATTCTGAATACTGTTCGGTCTTCCATTTCAATCTTATTTTAAATCTCATTTATTTCTGCTCATGTTCGCGGGTTTGTGTTCTCTGTTCCCACGTAGATTTGATTTATGTCAATGTTTTGTTTTTTTTTATTAAGCAATACTCTATAAAGTTGAAATCAAAGGATTTTAATCTCTGGGTTAAAACGGACTCAAAATGAGGAGGAGATGAGAGATATGATATGCACGAGAGGGGACTGGATCACATACATTATTCATGGCGGGCGCACTGAAAACCATAAAGAAACAACAAAAAGACAAAAGATTATCGAGCACCACAGGACTGACATGAGCTGCATGAGAACCGAGTAGATGCTAGCGCCGGAAGTCTTTTTGTTTTTACGGGTCAGAAATTAGTTTGGTCATGCATTCTGAGGTCTAGTTTCACAAAATGGAAAAATTTTGATTATTTATGAGGTTCTATTTTATCACATCTTTGGGTAATTTTAACGTTTCGATACAAAGCGGGATGTGATTGGTTAAAACAGCAGTACCAAACTAAGGAAAGCTACAGTGAGCCGATGTTGAGATTTGCGCTTCAGCTCTTTGACGAGACTTGACCCAAATCATACTTTTCCTGTAATTTGCACAAACGCCGCATTGAGAGCGAATTAATTTTTGCTGCACCTTGTGTGCTACTTTTTTTTCTAAACACATTTTGACGTCACGTGATCAATGATTATGGGCTTTTTCATCTCAGTAGGTTTATCTACATAGTGAAGGCCATGAACACCAATTAAGAAATGAACAAAAAGGAAATGATGAAATGAAGAGATTGCTGAAAAAAAATAAAAATGAAAAAATCCAGGCTTGGACGTGATTCAAACCTTTGTCTCCCTGACACTAGTTGGACGTTTTTACTTACTCGACAACGAGGAAACTTCTAGTAGGTTTTTCGTTCCAGTTAAGGAATTTGATCACAATTAAACAAAGCAAAACACATTTTGACCTGCAGTTGATAAGAAATGACGAAATGACGGATCCTTACAGATAAACAGAATTGCGATTGAAGAAAGTTTAGAAAAAGGACACTGCCACCTAAACATTATATTTTCTTGTTAATAAAAGTCAAAATGAAAAAAATCTTGGAAGAGTGTCAAATATAGATTGGCACAAAGAAACAAATTAATGGGGACATCGAAGAGTAAAAGATCATTTTTAAAACATCTAGAATAAAACACATTTTATTTCGTTGCATTTTAATGTATGAAAATATTTTGGGAGGGGAGGGGAGGGGGATAAAACAGCTGTGCATGTCCACAGAGGCCAGTGTAATAATAGCATTTACTGCATTTCACCTCCCCCGCCCCCACCCATTGACATGCCAAAAATGTACGCGAGAGAAAAACAATCACAGTTCTGGAGGTGGCTACCGAAAATATGAATGTTTATTACAAATACTTTTTTAACGTCCATCTCAGTAAGGAATAGTTTGATACCAATGATTCTCTGACTGACGAAAACTACTCAAGTCCTACTGTACCGAAAAATCCGTTTCAATTCACGCCGAAAGTCCTTCTTAACAACTGAATAAATCAATGGATTTGCGGACGAGTTGATAATGACGCCCACTGAGACCACAAACAGTAAGTTTTCATAAAATGTTTCCTCAATAATAGGCGGCCAAAATACAATGCAAAGTCGAAACATTGCCAGAGGCAGCATGAAAACTGAAAAAACTACAACAACTGGTGTTAAAATCGCTTTGGCGCGTTTGTTTTGAGCGACGCGGAGACTATGCCTGGGTGAGCAGTCGTCTTTATCACAAAGATTCATAACCAATGTAATATTCTCTTTTCCTTGTTTCATGACCTTGATGAACTTGCTACTTTCATCTAACGTTCGTGACACTGCAAGGAACGTTCCTAGTATAACAATAAGTGGAATTATGTAAGAAAGCAGAACAATTAACATGTTGTAGACCTGAGGTAACACAAAGCCTTTACCCCACAAAGGCCATTCTGCACCGCACCAAATGGTTCCGTCGTTTGATGTCTCTCTATAGCGAACAACGAAATACAATGGGAATGAAAACAAGAAAAATGAAGCCATCCAAATACACGCAGCAACCATCTTTGCTTTCTTCAGTGAAGCCCGAAGTCTGGGGTTTACTTTTGATGGCCTACCGATTTTCTGATAACGTTCTATGCCAGCCGCTGTTATGAACCACACAGATGATCCATGAAATATTTCGACAACTGGAAGAAAATACAGGCAAACGATCTCTCCAAATGGCCAGTCATTAGGAAGTCTTTCACGCGTTGCGGTAAATGGCAACGCCAACAGTAAAGTTCCTAAATCTGCAATGGCCAAGTTGATCATATAGAAATCCATTACACGTGTTTCTTTCACCTTAATCCTATTCAAAATAATGGTGACCAGAATGTTGCCAATAACACCAAACGAAGCACATGTTGCATAGAGAGTTAGTTTTACTACTTCGACTGGTAGTGACTCCGCTGGATCGCTCTTTGTTCCGTAAAGAGGAGACGAGATAGGACCAGTACAATTGTAGCTCACGGTGTTATTAGCCATGCTTAATTAAAGTCCTTGCTTAATTTCCTTTGGTTATCTGAAGGTTAATAGTAATGCATTGAATTTAGTCAAGTAAAACGGTTTCAATAGAATAAAGAGCATATAAGGCCATCGAACTACTCTAAGTAACAGGCAGAAGTATGTCTTATTTCTTATGGAAAATTTCACTCAAGTAACCGAGCTGAGATGCATGCCTGATATAACATCCATTTGGGATACTTCACTTCGGTTGCCCAGCTAGCTGCGATGAACAAAGCGCGACCTTTCAAGTTTCGCCCAAGTAGTTGCGTTGTGCGCTGTTCACTTGAAGAAGCCTTTAGAAGCTTTTAAATTTCTCGACCGAAATAACAGATATTTCAATAACCACCATCGGATCACGCAAAATTAAAGATCTTCTGAATCCATCGTAATTTTTTTTGAGGAAAAGGCTGATGAAGGTCTTATAGAGAGGGCAGCAAAAGATCACTGAGCTACAGACCTAGGTAAGCTCAAGAGAATATAATTTTCTTGGTAAACTGCTGGACCGTGGTCGTGAAGTTAACTGATGCGATAATGTAGCTCACCTGTAACTGTTTTTGAGCCTACGGTTTGTTGAAGATTAGAGCTTGCTAAGGATCACCGTGACATTAGCACGTAACAGCAATAAGTACGTACGTCAGTAGCAAGAAGGATCATTGCTGTTTTATACATTATCACTTATAAATACGCGCCTTGATGCTTTTTAATATTCACAGCTATTGATATTGTTACAATTCTTTGGCTGTTTGGTCATTTTAACATTGTCATGGTCGTTGCTTTAGACACAACATCAAGTGAAACTGTAAACCGGTATACTCCAATAACTTTGAGCAGCTGTCATAGTGTAAGATTTACATGACTACAGACCTCCTACGTGGAGCTGAACAGTGGCGGATATTTACATCGCAAAATGTTTTCTTCCCACTCTGGATTTCGTCGACATTTTAAGCGCTTATCGGCCACAGAATTACATCTTATTTGCCAGCAGCGTATGAGGTTTAACCGTGGCTGGGAGTAGTATCTTATGGTTACTCAACGCTTAGCAAAACACTTGTTGCATATTTGTATGTCGGTGGCTGTCATGAATGCCAATAGTTCATGTCCTCACGTGCTGTAAGCCAACATCACGACACACAAAATTAAAAGAATACATGCAGAGATCAGATTCCATGGTAATTCCATCAAAATTGTATTCATTTCATTGTTGGTTCTAGTGTTTACATCAAAATATGTGTTTTTTAAACGACTGCTGAAGTACATGTGAGTCAAATCTCAAACAAAGTAACCTAAAAACTGCTTCTGAGCTAACTGACACAACGTTTTAGAAAAGAGAAACCTGCGAACATAAACTCCAGAATATCAAGATGTCAAGGGGCTGCTGAACAGATCAATTCTTATCTAATGCGAAACCAACGAGATCGATACAAGAAGTTTAACGTTTTCTTCCAAGAGCTTTAGGTTCATTTTATCTACCCTTAGAATAAATTGATTTTGCGCTGCATCATTAAGCTTTTACTGTTTTTCATTCACAGGCTAATGATTCTGTATTATAAGCCTACTTTCGTTGTATCGGGTAGTCTCAAATGAACGGTTCATTGAGTTCATCATCACATGTAGTAAGCCATACAGACGCGCGTTTTATCGGCGAACCGCGCAATCCACGTGCTGGCTGGGACTAAAGAAGTCCTTTTTGCTCACAAAAGACTTAATTAAAAGGATAATAAAAGAGTTTGATTTCACTTAAGAAGCTAATTAAATTACGGCTCAGTTGGAGACTCGGGCTCGAAGTGAACGTCATAACAATCTTTTAATATAACGAAGAATTTCTTGCTGTGAACGGAAAAATTAGATAAAAAACTTATTGACTGACTAGTAATAACTCAGTGTCAACGCTGTTGTGATTAACAGTACATGTTAAATGGTGCGTTAGGATAAAGCAATGAAAAGAAAGGAAGAGAAGATATATTGTGCTTTTTTTTTAATAACTTTTGGCTCATAGAAAGGAGTTTAAACCGCAGGAAATCTGTGAATTGTCAACGGAAGGGGTGAGCCAAATGACCCCCTCTTTCAAACGCCGAACTGTTTGGTAGTGCAGATGCAGCGACATTATGCATTACTCCCTCGAACACCATGTTAAAAGCAGATTTTGGTGATCTTCTAAAGCTAAAAAATATTTCAAAAACAATCGAACAAAGCTCAATTTCTGCTAGGTTCAGAGTTAGAGTTCAGGACTTCTTCTTACTGTCCTCTCAGTTGCGAAAAAAATACAGAACAGACGAGACTTGAAATTGATGACTTTGCCAACATTAGTCTGCACTTATAATAACTTACATATTTCGACCTTTCTTATTTGATTCGAATATAACAGGAGTGCAAATCTCATCTCCAAACTGCAGTCTCTCATCGCAATCCTTTCTATCAAATCTGTCTCTTTTGTCCAAAGTTTTTTCGATGATAATTTTAAGATCAAATGGGACCTAAAGCCACTATTAAATAAAAACCTGAAAAAATTCAGGCTTCTGCGGGATTTGAGGCTTCAGGCTTCCTCTAACAATGGCAAAAGGCCTTGCTCGAACATCAACATTACCAGTAATATAAAATGCTACTTGAACCACGTGTGCAGATCAAAAATTAAGTCTGGATCGTGCGCAGCCTGTCCTCGTTGCCCGGAGGAGTCTTTTAAAACTAGCCACGTTGCTAACATGTGACTTCGCTGCACAGTACGTTGGTAGTATCGCTTATTTAGTCTAGGGGGTAAGGGTTCGAATCCCGTCGAAGAGTGAATTCATTCAGGCTTCAACTGAACTTCAACGTTATTCATCACAACAAATATTTGACTTACAGGAGGATAACAGGCACATGACCTTACACTGTCATTTACGCGGAAGGTTTTTGCCGCTGGAAGGAGACTTGTGTCATATCTTAGCGGCAAGAAAAAGTATCTTGACACAATTCTTTTTAAAAATAAAAATGATAAGGATCGAGGAAGGTGACTGGATGAATATGTATGAAAGGAATATCAACTGATATTCTCTTGTACGTATCCAGTCGAAAAATGCCGTATGCCCTCCGGCTTAAAACTGGAGTCCCGGATGGTCAAGCGTGCGGAGACAAACATGCCAATTCAATCCAATGACGCGTTACAGTATTCTGTTATAAACTTGTTTGTGGATTCACGTGAATGATCGCAGATACAAACAAATATTTTAATAACCCTCGAGGCTGACGTACAAAAGAGATAATAACTCGAGTTTTCAATCAAAGGCCTCTTGGAGCCAGCTCACTCATGTTATGGCTTAAGTTTGTATCGATTTCTTGGACTTATTGAATATAGGTTCAGTTGAATTCGGTTTATGTGAACTTTTAAGACTTATGAAATAAATTCTCTCTTATTTTTGGGCAGTTGTGTGATGAGAAAACTTGTACGTTCGTCGTGATGAGAATTGGAATTGTGGAGCGGAGGATGGGCTGGGTGGGCATAATCAGGCATCAAATATTGCAATAGCCGTAAAATATTAAGTAACCCTCATCTTTCACGATCATTTGCACTATTGTGAAATATTCCTTTCCCGTTTCTTGATATCTTTTTTTTTTAACAAAGCGGCCATTGTATTTGATTTTTAACAAATTAAAGCGGCCACAATCGTTCTTAACAGAATCTCACGCCTTCCTATGGTCTGATTTCCACATATTAATATTTACGTAGTCACCAAACAGATTAGAGATAAGACCACCAGAAAAGTAAAAAAAATGGCCAGTCACGAAAGCAACTCTTTGCTTTTCCCTATAAAAATTCGCTGGTTCCTCATCTACTAAGCCAATAACAATATAAGGCCCATATGGAAAAATTAGTGCGTGTACATCCCTGAACGTTGAAAACATATCAAGTCGAAGGAACAGTTTTGGCCTCGGTCCGCATTTTTGTTAACAAAATGAACACATATCGGTTAAAACGATGAAACGTACTGACCACGTGCAAAGCTGTCCTTGTTTCTCGAATAGTACGTGTGTTAAATATTCAGTAGTAACATCTCATTTACATCTACATCTACTTTTATTAAGTTGGTAAATTCTGAACCGACATCACACCAACCAACTCGCGCGCAAAGAAAGAAAACTATATGAAGGCTTGAAATTATATTAAGAACGATTGTGATCAAGAAACGGGCTAGGAATATTCCGCAATAATGCAAATAATCGTGAAAGATAATCGCGGAAAAGCGATTGCGTGACGCTCGGAAAGTTGCAAGATGACATGATATCACGTATCAGACGAAAAAACAGTATAAATTCTCAGTCTGCATTTTGCACCCAATCTGCAGTCTACATTTTGTACCTAGTCTGCATTTTGTACCTAGTCTGCATTTTGTACCCGGTCTGCAGTCTGCATTTTGTACTGACCGGATTGGTATAGCTTTTTTGTTCGAGCGAGCCTCAAGTCCAGACCGAAATATTGGAGCTCGAAAAAAAACTCTGGTGAGACTATCTTGGCCGCTATAATTGATATGTGGACTGTATGTCGAAGACCTCACGAGGAAAAGTACAATGATAGATCAATGATTAATTTATATCAACTAAAGACGAACGCAAATGCGCGGCTCACCAATGTGGCCACCTTTGTTCATTGATCCCAAAGAAATATCGGATTCGGAAAAATGATGTCCAAGTGGCAGAGATAAAAGGAAAAAAAGCATGAAATCCGGAAAAGCGTTTTGTCACATGACGGAGGTCTACTGATCGGCTAATGCGCATGATTCTTGTTCAGCGGTTTTCGTTAAATATGGATCGTTTAATTGTTCGAAATATGCCACGGACTAGGATAAACGGGATGGACCATTTCTAACTGGCTCGGCATAAAATGGACTATGGCTTGCATTCTTTTGTAGAGAATTAACGAAGTTTTCGTGCGGACGAACATCATTAAGTTTTTATAAAGGTGCTTTTAGATATTGTGTGTGTGCGAAATTGTTTCTCAGCGTGAC